CTATAAGAGCCATGATGTGTTTGTCCTGTCAGAACCCCGTCTGGACTAACTCCTCACGTGCTAGCACGTGATTTGTGACACGCCACCATGCCTCAAACCAGCCCCTGGCTGGCACCCGGCGTGCCCCGTGCTTCCCGAGCCCTGCTCGGTTAGCTATGGCTTGGCACACCTCCGGTATATAAGAGCTTCCAGCTCCTGGGCTTCTGTCCATTCTTTCTCTTCTCTCTTCAGCTTAGAATCCTTGAATAGACAGTTCCACAGTGCCCAACTTACACCAGGCGTAGTCGTGCATTCGTGCGCGGTCCATCAGCTGTGCGTGTCGTCACAGTTTCATAAGGATATAACTGTGACGGTTCTGACCATCACGTGGCACTTGTATCACGTGGCGCCGCTTAGCGACCCACACCATGTATGTAGACTCGAGCTCCCTCGAGCTCTCCTCTTCTCTTCAGCTTAGAATCTTCGAATAAGACAGTTCTACGATTCCATAACCTACACCTTGGACGCCCACGGGCAACATATTGTACGTGTCGTCACAATAACCGAGGTTATCCTTATATCCAGTATCCTTATAGCCAGGTTTTTCTGTACCCTTAAAATTTGGGTCCCGATTTTCTTAGGTAGAATACTAAGAGTACCTCGGGGGTAAGGCTAATCCTTTAGTTTTATGGATCTCAAAAAAATTCCACTTAAAATATCTTGACTTTTATCCTTTGAAGTTATATTATTCCTCGGGAATTTAGCAGTTTTACATAGATTCCTTAGATTTTTAGGTACAAACGTATATCCAGGTTTATCTGTAACATATAATGGGCTACAGGGGAGCCTGGGTCCCGCCTGTACTATGGAGCTGGCGCTTGAACAAAGACGGAGTAGGAAATCATCTGTGAGATGGTAACCCGGATATTACATCCGACTGCAGGGTGGGCGCGTTTACCAGGTCTTGACGGCAAGGTATACGACTTGACCGCCTCCAGCTCACCATGGTTATATATGTAAAAGCTCTCGGAAGATTACACATATCACACACATAGTCTTGTGTCCATTCTTTTCCGTGTTTCTCGACCAGGCCCTTAGTTCTTAGCAATGTCTTGGCCCGGAGGCAGCGAATAGAAAGATGGCCACGAAGTCTTGACGACGCTGTCTTGCCCCAAGGACGACAGCAATGTCAACAGTGGCGCATATGATGGCCCATCGAGATGTCCTCAACCAGCATCTCCGTCAGGCCGCCAGGAGGTGCTACTCCATTATCCACTTTTCGCCTCTCGGCGATTCCAGTCCCCCTCCCCTCATGCTTAGCGTATTTCTATTCGCGCCCGCGATGACAGCTACTCTATCGCCAATGCTATGCCGGCTATCACCTCATCCTTCCAGATCCTGTCGCACGTGCCATGGCACGGTAGCGACTTCCTCCTGGCGACCGCGGCTCTGCAGTCCGCGTCCGGCGGAATCGTTTATTTTGAGAGACAGATCTCGCTAAACACTACAGATACAGCCACATCGTGGTAGGACTTACAAAAGATGTTCTATTAGCCCCAATCACCCGATAGCTCGTAAAGAGGCTCCATATCGTATTAAATTAGGGTTGTTTCTTACGTCATCTGTAGTAAGTTTTGGTGATTGTGGCTGGTAGTTGGTCAGTGCGCGTGGAAAAGTGGAGGTCTGTCCCTCGAATAATCGATTCCACTGATCGATTCTCCTAGGGCAAGATATACTGCGTCCTCTGGTAGGTTTACTAGGGTAGCTAAGGTTGACAAAGGGAAAAAGCCCCTGAAACATCTACAATTCTTCAGCCTAGGACGAAGTAGATCCTTGCTAGGGTGCCAAAGGTTATGGGGTGGTGAAAAGCGAGTGAGAGACATCGAGAGACGTTAACATAATAAATGGCTACGACACCCTGTAATTTCGGTCTGATCATGAAAAGACGAGCCGACTATTTCACGATCATTTTTTGAAATATTGAAGCTGTACATGCGTACTGTTTGGGCACTATAGCGCAGCATAGGTCGAATAACATCCAGGGTATGATGCAAAGAGCTATGGATCATGGTTCTGCGCGGAAGAATGAGGCGCACACTTCAAGCAGCAGTCATCAATCTCAGCGGAGTCTCTCGACCACCAATGCCTGCGATCAATGTCACCGCCGTAAGCTGAGGTGCTCACGGCATGAACCCGCCTGTGACCGTTGCCAAAAGCAACAACGCCTCTGTACCTACAGCCTAAGCCGACCTGTAGGAAGACCACGGCAGTCCGCTACAGACAGGAGGTGGAATTCCAAACGGGCAAACAGGATACAGACTGGCGATGGTTGCAACGAATTTTTCCGACAGGTTGACCTACATTCGACAACGCATGTACTCGCATCATCGAATTTTTCCCATTCCGCGACAACAATTGGCTCGGCTGCCGAAAAAGGCAATCATCAGAGTTCAAGCGAGGAGGCGATTCCTTTACCACCAGAGAGCACTTTGCCAGAACAGCAAGAACTAGGAGATTGCGGTATTGACAATCATTCGAGAAGCGCTACAATTTCATCGCTTGAATCCGACAGTGGCTTGAATGCAGTGCCGCATATTTCTTGCCCACCTTTTGCCAACTCGGCGCAACCTCGATTCTTTCTGACCCCAGATATGGGCGAAGAATTGCTGGATATCGACTTCAACCATCTGAACCAACTCGACACGACTGACTTTGAAACATCGGCATTACAGCCAGAGGGACCCGAAAAAGAACAGTGCCTATGTCTTTCTGATGTTTTGTGCTGTATTAATGACAGATTAAGTACACCAGCATGGCAGAGCCATGATCCATTCACGGCTTTGAATGATACTATGGAGCAGCTTACGATGTGCGAAAAATTTCATACAATGTACTACCTGATCCTATTACCATTGTATCAAGACGTTGGAGAGCGCCTGTCTCTGTACAACGGATATTCGTCACTACCCAGCGGGCATAGCGAAACGATGATGCCCACAGGCTCAATCGGAAATCTCAACTCCTTGCTGGCCCTCAACAATAGAACGACAGGCAATATTGAGCTATCGAGGAATGCAGAGGCCAAAGTCCATGAGCATTCCACGGTTCAACCAAAAATATGTCCTCGGAGTCAATCAGAAAGACGGATTATAATGAAAGCCTTCGCCACTCTATCCGTGGCATCATCCGTTATGCACCTGAGATTCAACGAAATTGAGATTGGCGCTTCACCGGAGTTGGCCCTCATACACAAAAAACTTCATCAACTAGGAGAAACTTTCAAGCAGCTGGCAAAGGAAGAGAGCAGGAACAGCCAAACACTTTGAGTTGCATATTCTAGGGTTATTTTTTTTAAAAAAAAAGAAATGAAAAGGTCAATTGAACAAACGATATCGTTTCTCGCAGGAAGGTAACTGATCGATATGCTTTCATAGTTTCCATTATACTTACGTGCTTTGAAATGAGGTAGAAGCCACTTACTCTCAAGTGAGGCAGCTCGGTACATCTCACCGTGCAGAACAATATCGCGCTCGAGACAGCTGGTGGTAGTGGTAGGACTTTGTTGACCGTCATAGCAGACCGACATGCCTGTGTCTGTACGGTTGACAGAACCGCCAATAGTTTCGCTGTGACTTACACAAGAAGGTCCTCTGACCGCTCGGTAACCTGCCCACTCATGGCAAGCCCTTTCAACTCAACCCTTTTGTAAACCTTTTATCCGTGTATATCGAAGAAGGTGAGGCAACATAGCCGATATCTTATGAAGGTCCAGTGAAACAATTCTGGTGCTGCTGTGTCAGCGGGCCATTCCAGTTTGGTTGCGTGGCTGTCCCGCTTTACTTGGGCACTGAGCAGATCGCATTAAGTGAACTGAAAATGGCTCAGGTGACGCTGCCAAGGGCTAGAGGCCACATATGTATCTGAATAAAGTGCTGATTCAGATATGGGCTACATCTAATCAGATTCGGCTATTGAGGAAAATTGCGTCGGTCACGAACCCCACTACATCTTGTCCATCCTTGGCAGCAGCCCTTGAGTCAGATTCTTATGAATACTCATCAGCTCAAATTTGGTATATCTTCACTTGTCAGTGGTGGCATTTAAGGTAGTATTGCAAATGGAAGATCAGTATCTAGCTCGTCCAAGGTCACCTTTCTCCTCACAGAAGAACTTCGTTGCCTTGGGCGATTTCAACAAATCCATTGATTGATTTTCAGGCCAGAGCAATTGATGCATGCCAACGCTCTATACCTATTACAATGAAATAGCAGTATCCCCTTATGGTTTCTTCAGTCCCGTACCAGTGACAGTATGTTCTGTAGTCAAGTGCCCCTGCCTGACAAAAAGACTGGCAACAAATCCTACAAATGCCACTGCCGTGAACAGAATCCACACGTTTCTCATGGCTAACAAGACAGCATTCTCGATGGCTATCCTCCAAGTCTGGTCTTGTATATCTCTTATCGACAGAATGGTCGCGAGAACATTGCTTCCGGAGTATTTGATAACCAATTCCTGAGGCAAACCAACAGCGTTAAGCGAGGCTATTTGCTTATCCATAGAGCTCTGAAAAAAGCTGCCACCGATAATGACAGAGAGGGTGATGCCAACGTTTCGGATAAAACATAGTGTTGAAGTAGCGGTTGCCATATCCTCTTGGCTTACCTGGCTTTGAATAGCGATGATTGTAGTCTCGAATAGAAATCCTGAACCCATGCCGCCAATTATCTGATAACCGATGATCTGAGAAATGGTGGTATTTATATTAAATGAAACGAAGAGTCCGAATCCGAGGCATAGACAAAGTGCACCCACCCAGATTATCTCCTGGAAGCGGCCAGTACGATGAATAAATACACCACATGCGATGCCCGAGATAGCAGTGGTGATGATAAATGGCAAAAGAAGCAGCCCAGACTTGAGAGGGCCGGCTTCAAACGAGGATTGAAAAAGCACAGGCAAATAGTATTCTGCGCTCATAAAAGCCTGTAAAGATTAGTTCGTTAAATGTCTTCAGGAATGTCAATTGGGTAATAGCTACAAGTGCATGACCGAGAGTCAATAACAGGATGGCGACATTTACGCCCTTAGCAAAGATATCCATCGGCATAAGTGGGTATTTCGCAATCTTGACCTCGCTGTAAATAAATGCGAAGACTAAAATCCCACCAACCGCCAACAAAGCTATCACTGTGGCCGAGTTCCATGGGAAAATCTTGCCACCGAAATCCAGGCCAAGCAGCAATAGGACGCTGCAGCCGAGGAACGTGAACATTCCAGCCCAGTCTAATGCTCTCACGCCATCCTTGAAAGAGGTATGTTCGTGTTTAATATCCAGCAGATAAATGATAATGACCGCTGCTACAGCGGAGATGGGAAGATTGATCCAAAAGCACCAGCGCCATGTGCTGAGTGAAGAGAATACGCCGCCCAGCACAGGGCCAATCCCGCCTGCAATGGCCCAGACGCCTTCCGTCAAGCCCAGGAGAAGGCTACGCTTCCTGTGTTGGCCCAATCCGTAAGCTTTGGTACAAATAAAGTTGCGTGAGACACGCAAGGTCTTCAAATGTGAAGGGATTCACATTGCAGGAGATTCCTTTGCGTACCTAAGACTGAACAAATCACTGATACATACGTGAACGAGCAAGATGAGGCCTCCAGATGCGGCTCCCTGAAGAGCTCTTCCTGCTAGCAACGCTTCAATGTTTTTCGCGGTAGCGCAGATGGTAGAACTGACGAAGAGCCAAGCGAGAAGGACAACAAGAATGACCTTTCGACCCCAGATATCGGACAGCTTGACCCAAATTGGGCTTGTCGTCACGCTGGTGAGAAGAAACGCTCCTCCAATCCAAGTGTAACCAGCGGAAGAAGCGAGCTCATTGCTTATTGTCGGAGCAGCGGTTGCAACGATAGTGGCATCTAGTGCCGCAACGAAAAGAGAGAGCTGTCAGCGCGTTACTTAGTGTGCATCCGATCGTAATGTCTATGACTGATGATTGTTGCAACTTACAAATAGCGCGAATATTACCGTATATTTTCTGAAAGTTTGCATCCCATCGTGTGCGGGCGCAGACAGTGATGGGGTCTCCTCACTCGTGATTGGTGAATCGGCTGCATCGGCTATATCAGACGGGTCTTTCTGGTCTGAATCAATGACGGTCGCCATGGTCCCTCACTTAGCCAATGTGAGAATGGGTAAGGACGCGAAGGAAGCAAGTACAAAAGTACACCAAGTGCCCCTTATACATCGTCCCAGGCAACAATCAATGTTATCTTTGAGTGGGTATACCAAGTACAGGGGATTTTTCAGTAGAATACAGGGTTAGCACAGAGAAGCTGACAAGACTACCTGGTACTTTCGGGCCATTCAGAGAACAGCTTTCTACGGGTCCCTAGGTAAATTAGGAAAGTCCGACAACGAGAAGCTCCCGATTATCACAATCTTCTGAGTGTAAGAAGAGGGATTCTAACGAGTAATTAGAAAAGTATAACATAAACACTAGTAGACTTTGATTTGACTTGCTTTTCTTTTGACTCTACCCAAGTGTTTTCGATGACGTTATTACAAGATGGTAGTTGAGGATACAAATTAAGAAGCTTTTTCCCGTGGAGTACGCCTCTGAGTCACGAAGCCGGTACGGTACGAAAGCGGGAGAACCCTAGCGCTTCCAAAACTTCCGTTACGTAAAATACGAGCGCCCCGGATGATTTCGAGCTTCCAGCCTGGGCCAGCAGAAAACCCAAAAGTAATTAATTACTTGGAACTACCAATATCGCGGCATTCACAGCGATTTATATATAAAGATTAGCCACACTCGATGAAAATAATAGAAATTAACTCCGTAATAGTATCTACGTATGAACCCTAGCTATATTTGTTTCGCATTTAGGGTAGAATGTCTCCCCTCTTCACTTAATCCTAGCAAAAGAATCCTCCGAACGGTCTAGGAGATAGCTCGGCTAAATGATCAGCTTGGTACGGCAACCCGAGTTGGAGTCAAAATGTCGGCTATTATTTGTTTCTATTCGGACATTTGAATAGTACTCCTAAAACGCGCTCAAAAGAGAGTAGCAAGGGCAGCTCCCGGAGGATTTTGGTATGGCCAAGCCAAAAAAGAACACTTTGGACCACAGTACTGTCGAGTTTCGACGGTAGTTTTAATTCCGTGAAAAAAGAACTCGATTCGGGGATTGATCTAAGTCGTTTCGTTAACTTATGTATTCATTATAGCGCTTTCAGAAATTCTGTCGATTAGTCTTGATAAGATTATATTTCCGTTTTTCTTAAATTACTGATTATCTTTCTAAAGTTGTGATCAAGTCTCACCATGTCCGAGTCGGCCTATACCATTATCCTCCACGGCAACGACGCCACAGGAAAAACGACCCTCGTCCCTGCTCTCAGGGCGGCTGGCCAGGTCGTTTATGCTCGTGGCGACGAAGATGCCACACTCGAAGACACAATCGTCGTTAGGGGGTTCGATAAACTCACATTAAAACTTGCTGGCGACGACCGAGCTACTCTCCCTGAGTTGTACACAGACAAAGATGGAGTTCAGCGTAGAATTGTGAGAATTGTCCTCGATGCCGATGTCCCTGTACTTCAGGGGCGTCTTGCGGGCCGGCCCAGCACAGATAAGTGGGAGTCGGAAAAAGCCCTCTTCTATTTCCGCGCACGATTCTTGGTATGTTTACATTCACGTGACATCCCACTTTCTCGCTAGACAATTTTTAACAAGGTTTTATCAGGAACTAGCCGCATTCTACGGTTTACCCATCGTGAATACCGGAAAAAAGGGCGTCGACGAAAGCGTCTCTGATATTATTGCCCTCTGCCGTAACACTGAGGTCCTCACACTCTTCTCCAGGCTTGCCTTGCGCACACTGACTCCTGACGACGTCGCTTCCTTAGCCGGTCGCCGCGCGGTAGTCGCGGGAGTGGACTATGCTAAGCGCCTGGAAGAGATCATCGCCACCGAGTGCGGTGAGACGTCGCTCTTCACACCCGAAGATGTTCGTGCTCAATGCCTTCGTGACCCAGGTCTCGTGAATGCGCTCGTCAACCAATATGACAATTTACACGATCCAAGTTCCCAATTACGCCTCCGTCTGGTCGTCGAGGGAGAATCGAAGCAAATCTACAAGGTTGAGACGCCCCTGACACGTGATTTCGACAACCGAGTCCTTGTCTTTCTCAAGCCAACCATCTATTCGCACAGCAAGCAATCAACGGCGGAGATCTCAGGTCTTAGTGCAATTCGTGCAGCTGGCTCCCGTCTCTTCCTGGAGATGCTCCATCGGGCAGGTATCAGCCATACCTACCTCGGCCTGAACAAGCATGGACTCATCTGGGCAAACGGGACTGAGATTACTATGATCGAGACAGTGTATAAGGAACTCTGCGCAGGAACAGACAAGCATTCCTTCTTCGGCATGGTCACCGATCCCGCCATCACACTGCCGACAGGCCAGTATAAGCGTGGGCCGTATGTCCGCTTCGACTGGCGCAACCCAAATCATGTGTACAAAGGAGTCAATCCTGCGAAGCATCCGTTCTACTACCTTATGGAGTCATCTGTAGGCAAGAACGTCTTTTACGAGAACTTTCTTACTGCGCGCGCAAAGCCGTTTGGGGATAAGTGCGTGCCCGAGGAACTGGTACATGGCGTGCAAGCCGTCGAGCCATCTGTGGACTGGACGACGCGCATCTTCTTCACCATGCAGCACTACCTTCATCAGATCGGGCTCGAGGTTCAGGATGGATGTATTATGCTCGATCCCACCGGGCAAACAATGTGGTCAGAGATCAACCAGGACTGTATGCGCCTCAAGCGAAGAGAGACCACGACTGCGAACAGCCCAGATGCATTTGACAAGGACGTCTGGCGCGCTGGCGGTAGCGCGGTAAAAGAATCCATCCTCGACAAATGGAATCAGCTTAACGCCCTCCTCAGAGCGCATCTTGCCAGCCGCCCTTTCCATGAGCACGAGATGGTCGCTCCTCACGAGGCATATGGCCTACACGCGCGGGAAGTGCTGGCGGACAAGAACCTTACACCCACGCCGCGCTACAGAGCGCTTTACGAGCGTCTTGTCGCGCATGATCGATCGAAACTGCGGTCAAATTAGTGTAAATCCATCTAAAAAGCGGGAAACCAAGAAAAAAGGCAACAAAAAAGTGTTATTAGGAGTTAGAGCCCCTTCTTATAAGGAGCAAAATGTTTAGTGACCCCAGAACTTGTAGAAAAAAGAAATTTATATAAATTACCTGGCTAAATCCCCTGTGATATACTAGTCAATAACCCTTGATTCTTGCTACTTTTCTTTGTAAAGGAACTATGGTTTCATGTATACACGAATTGTATCGAGTCTTGTTCTTCTCCTCAGTCAAGAACACTTAAAAACCAATAACAGTATTAACTTCTCTGGAATACCGCGATTATACTTTATTTTCTATATGATTAACTTATTCTCTGAACCCTCCTTTACAAAGATGGTACAAACAAGGGGGAAGCCTAACCTTGTCCAAAAATTATACTTACTAAGTTACTATAATTTAATAGGCTAACTATCGTTAGAGTCACTTATCGCCGCATACTATTTATACTAAATGAATCCATAGCCATTCTCCAAAAACCGTATTACCCAAACACGACCCGATCTACATCCTACTGCAATCGTTGATCCCGTTACTGTGAACACCAAAGGGCGATACTTTGGCGGTATCCAGATGAGATTCTCGCCATCTTGAACAATCCAGACGTGATCAGGACTAATGCCATATTTCTTATAGCTGTAGTCGCCTGATGAGGTAACTTGGGTCGATTTCGAAGATTCCTTCAAAGATGGATCCAAAGAAATGTCGCCAATCTCTGACAAGAGACAAGCGTCATGGCTTGGGTGGAATGAAAGGGAATAGATAGCACAGCTAACGTTGAGAGTCTGTAGGCAAGCACCCGACTCGACATCCCAGAGCTTGACTATCTTATCACAGGAGCCTGATGCTATCCTTTGGCCGTCCTTCGAGATGGCAACAGAGGTGACTGGGTAGGAATGTCCCTCGAGCGTCTGTAGGCAGATTCCAGACTCAGCGTCCCAAATTTTGACCGTTTTATCGTAGGAGCCGGATGCCAGCTTGTTGCCGTTGCTCGAGATAGCGACAGCAGTGACCGTATAAGAATGGCCCTCAAATGTATGCAAGCAAGCGCCTGATTTAGCGTCCCAGAGCTTAGCAGTCTTATCACAGGAGCCAGACGCTAGCCTAGAGCCGTTACTCGAAATTGCCACGGCCCGGATCCAGTCCGAATGGCCCGCAAGCGTCTGTAGGCAGGCGCCCGACTCGGTATCCCAGAGCTTGATTGTCTTGTCGCCAGAGCCGGATGCCAGCCTCCGACCATCGCTTGAAATGGATATGGATCGGACCCAGTCAGAATGGCCCTCGGATGTTTGGAGGCAGGCGTTCCAATCTGCATCAGTTTTTGGTGCTGATTCTACATAGGGAGGAAAGTCTTCATTATATAGCTTCCTGATCAAGCTGTTGGTTGGGCTGAACATAAGCGCTGATGTGTACATTTGTAGCGGAGCAATCTCGATGGAGCCTTTTTGTGAAAGAAGAAAATGACGAGCGTCTTGAACGAGACTTCGCAGCTCCTCGGAAGTATTGTTACTCTATAAATATCAGTTATCATTATCAGGTTAGAGATGAGAATTGCATTCTTACCAAGGCCTTTTCAAGTTTCTGTATTGCTCTGATACCTTGCGGGACTTTTTGCATTAAACTGAGAGCCTCAAGCCAGTGGAGGTAACTCGTTTTCAGAAATGTTAGGATAGTGGTAAGCACTGGCTTCTCGTTTAAACCTGCTTCTGAAAGTAACCCTGCGCCTTGAAGATGATCTACCCAGTAAGCAGAAGAGTATCGGATACTTGACAGCGGGTCTGGAGAAGGAGTCTTGACTTTGTCAATATGACAGCCAGGCTTGCGCAAAACATGAATGTCGCGCCTCAGAGTTTTACCGAGAAGGTCTAATGAGATTTTGAAGATCTCACTATGCTGGTGTTGGATATCAGAACGTAGGATCTCACTAGATTCCTTTCTAAGTAGGAAATCTTTGGCCGATTGATGTACGAAAGAAACAATGCCGTCTTGAAGAGTCAGGAAAGAACCACATGATACGATTATTTCTAGGATCTTATCTTGATCAATATTCTGGATGGACCGGGACCGGGCCAAGCCTTTCAATTCGTCGACACTGACAGGTCGATATACTGTCGAGGCAAGAGCTAAAATCTCGAAACAAGCTTCTGCATCTCCTGAATGGGCAATGTGTTCGATCAACCGTTGATAAAGTGGATCAAGGCCTTGTGGAAGTGACTTCAGCATATCCAGCGTATTGTTATGCCTTGATGAAACCTTACTATCTGCGAGCTCGTGGCAGACCAAGGTAACCCAAAGCAAATTGGTATCGGCTTTTGACAACAGATAACGACGTACTTCGAGAGCAGTATTTTCTTCATAGCCCTTCAGCCGCGTAAGTTCGGACACTTTGCGCTCAATGTAGCTTCCCACGGCTGTATGGAGAAACTCCGGATTGAGTTCTAACGAAAAACTCTGCGCTGTGTTGCATAACTTTTCTTTAATTGCCACGCAGTTGCGGCTTGAGACGAGCCATTTGGCGTTGGTAAACTTCGAGGTGTAGACGATGAAATCCAGCAGTTGTGGGAGACCTTCCACGCATTCGTCCAAAGCGTCAACCAAGAGGCAGACTGCCGGAAATTTAGTGTCTTGAACGATGTTGATGAAAATCTCAGTGAGTGTCTCCCACTCATTCTCATCCTCGAAGAGCGCTTGGCCTACGGTCTCATCTGTCTTCTTTATATAAGTCTCGAGGAAGGCATGATTTTGGTCGAGAAGCATGTAGATGAGACCGCGTAGCACGGATGTGGCAGTGTTGACGCGCCTGTCAGTGGCCTGGCAAAAGAAGTAGGAGAGGACCCATCCATCTACCGATGGGTTTTCAAGGTGATCGATGATGCCGCATAGTAGCATAGTCTTGCCTTTGCCTGTGTCTCCGTTGACCCATAGTAGCTTGCTGGTTTCGTCGTCACGCCATCGACAGAAGTCTGGATTCTCAAGCCCCCAGACGTAGGATTCCTGAATCAAGCCTCCTCGAATATCCTGGATGCACTTCTTGTCATGGCGAGGATCAGTGACGCGAAGGTCAGCCATAAATCGCTTGCCTGTCTCACTGAGCATATTTTCGCTAAGCAAAATGAGTATTAGTAATTAAACATAGTATAAGAAATCATGCTTAGTATCAGATACTTTGGCGGAACGCAGAGAATGCTTACCAATCTCTTGTTTGTTAACTTCTTGTTGTAGACGGTTTAAACCTTTTTTCTCCCCTTTATCAAAATTAATGGCAGGTGGGCGTCGAAGGTTCCGAAGAGAGAGTACGCTTAATCTTCTGCACGCTTGGAGTTGTGAAGTCTAGCCAGGAAAATAAATCTATCTACTAAAGCCAGATGAGTGCTGTCCTCGAAGGGGAGGGCATCAATGGAAAGTTCCAGTGATCTCCAAGACCAATGCTTTAGGGGATGCTTTTTAGCCAAGGAAACAATCAACTTCCGAGCGATCAGTTCTTAGAGCGTCCAGCCGCGAATAAAACAGCGGCTTCCCCGGAAAGCAAGCTTTCAAAATGCGTTACGCGCCTCTGTGTCTTCGGGATTGGCTTGTGGACGGACGTGGGCCTCTTTTGAAGATTATCGAAGCAAGTCTTGTAAAGTGTTTTCGTAGGTTTGCCTGGCTCAAGAGAAGTATTGTTAAAAGTCGTTGAGGAATATCAAAGATGCATATCTACACTTGCGTTTTAGGCAAAAGCTTGCAAAGCTCCGTTGAATCTCGACTGAAAATTGCCGAAATTATTTAAGCTGTGCTAACTCACACCTCGTCCTAGGCGAAGATATTGTAGCTTTGCTAGGGTGGCTAATGTTGGTAACAGCGTGAAAACCCCTGATAACCTTCAAATCTTTTCGCCTGGGACGAAATGCCGTACCTCTAATCAGAACGAATTCAAGCCCAAGTAAGAAATATACCTATTGCTGCGGAGGTTGATTGCTTTAATACTTCGTCCCAGGTATAATGATTGTAGGGTTGCAAGGATGGCTTAAGTGTCAGGGGAAAAACCCCCCCTAAAAGTTACAATTACGGATTATTCCTAGGACAAAGTAAAAGTATTCTCCGAATATTGTTTTCGCGGGTATGCAGCCCATAATCCCCGTCTCTTAGCACTATGTTGAAATTGCCGACGACCCATATCTTCCACATGTTCATTGTGGGGCACTCCCGCAACTGCCTGGATGTCGAGGCAATATTGCGATTTTTTCTGTAGTTGCTCGTACTTGGCGAGAAGGCAGAAGAAGCGCTACATTTCAGGTACCGTAGTAAATCGAACTTATAAAAAATGCTATGTGGGCGGGTGGGGTACAGAGAAGCTGGCATGGCTACCTTTGGCCGTTCAAAGAACAGCTTTTTACGTGTCCCTAAGTAGAAAATTTGATAACCCGCTCATTATAATCGTCCACGTATAGCAAGAGGGAATCTAGTGAGTGGGAGCCGCCGGTTCATACTGTTCTGTACTTTACCAGCCTATTCAATGTATTTTATAAGTTCGATTTACTACGGTAGCTATAGCTGACGATGGAACTTCTTTCACAATTGATGACCGAAATCTCCAAAGTGTTTCGATCTAATGCTCAGCAAATAGAATTAGATTCCATGGAATGCCAGGTAGAACATTCCACCTGGAATAATTCTATAGAAAAATAGAATTCTAGTGGCTTTTCCAACTAATTAAAGTGTATGATTCAGGGGTACTTTTTGGGAAATGGAAATATGTTATTTCACTAATAGAAGCATTAATACTTATATAAGCTACTAGACAACATAGAGAGTATTCCTACTCTAGACTCTGCCGGGGGAGCGATTAGTGGGTCCGGGGGTGTGTTTTCACGTGACATGTCCCGTAGCGACTCCCTCACGGAACCCATAAATGAATGTACTTCATTGCTTGTTAATAGCTTAAACCAATCTGGTCAATGAGGCTTTAGGTCAGCTTTACATCTTTCGTCAATGCTTATGAGTCCGATAGCTAAAGCTATTACAAAAGATACCACAATCCTACCTTGGAGAATACGCCGTTCACTGTCATCAGTATTATCTAAATAATCATAATCATAAACATCATGCGCGCTGTCTGTCGAAGAAGCTATATACAGTGATCCTTAGAGTAGTAGGGGTCCTTGCTACTGGGCCTTTTAAAGGCGCCGTCTCCATCGGCCGCTCTTCATGGTCTCTCTAAACAGTACCCTTGGCTGCCCAGAAACTTTCTCGCTCCTTCATTATATCATTGACCCAATCTTTCGTCTCTGGCAGCACAGTTTTCTTAGAGACATAAACAAAGTCTTCCAAATCCAAGGTGTGGTCCATTCTCTTCTCATACTCCACCATCTGGCATAATAGCTCTATTTTGTCAATGTCATGCACAAAGTGGCTCTCGAGAGTTTCAGAGTCTTCGTATTCTTGCCAGATGGCCCGGATTTCTGCTCCCGCCAGTCCTCCATAGACGCTTCCGAGCAGGTTATTCGAGATATAGTCCATCGTCTCGGCCTCCCGGCGACTTTTCTCGGGCTTGGCGACTCCATCTCCGGGCGTGATATCACCAACCAGCGACTCGGCCATATCGTGTATCAGACTCATTTTCATACACCTTGCCAGGTCGACTCGTGAGGAAAGGGACGGAGGACACAGCATCGTCATAAGAGACATGCGATACATGTGGTCGGCGACCGTCTCCCCCATTTCAATACCGTAACGCGTCCAGCCTTCACGCTTGGTCGTCTTTAATCGCTCTAGCATGTGGAAGAACGGTATCGGCGAGCTCGAGTTGCTGGTAGGTGGTGCGGGGTGGATCGTCGCAAGCGTTTTCTCTAGTGTCCAATCGCCGGTGAAATTGACTCTCTCTACAAATCCGGCATCTGAGCGAGACGTGTCATTAGTACACAAGAAGTACCAAATATGAAATGTAGCTGTACGTACCAACCTGCTTCTTATCGTATTTGGGAGTGGAGGACGACATTGCGACAAAATGAGGCGACCTGAATGCGTTCCAGTCGCCCAGAATTGGTGTGTAGGTTGAGTACCCCTCGTGAGATTGCCCGAGCGCAGAAGAACAAATATGAAGACGATGATCAGGGAGCTCGGACGATTCAGCGTTGGATTTCGGCGTGTGTTCTTGTTAGGTAGGTAGTTTTCATGAGAGAGATTGACTCTGCATAAAGATAATAGTGCAAAACATGGCAGCAAGTGAATACCTCCAAAATGCAAGATTTTAAGGTTGTTTGCTTCCGAAATTTGTTGCCGAATTCGAAGTCCGTCTTTTCGGCGTAAATATATTTTATTCGGCAATATTTCGCTTCTCAAATACTAGCTGTAATACACACCAAGACCTAGCATACTACAAAAGTCATCATCGGAGATATAGCTCGGAGAATAATGAAGAACGATATACGCGTTTACAACCATTCGCTATTAATGGCCCTTTAGATATGCACCGCTTCATACTGTAGCTAGTTCCAACCTCATAGGGGACCCAGAAATATACGCCATTCAACAACTTGTTCTGCTTTAGCGTCATGGAACAGCAAGCATCATCTGTAATCAGGCCCATAGAAGGTGGCTGGCAATCCATGTCCACTCTCGTGTCTAAAAAAGATGTTGCACTTGTCATGGACCAATTGTATGATGCTGGAGCCTCGGATATTCTTCTTTTGGAGGTCGAAAATGCAAGGGCAACTCCACAAAATTCTTTATTCTAGCTTTCATCTCTCCAAGAAATCTGGTTTCCGAGCAGGGGATCGTCGACTCTACGAAGAGAACTGACTGAAACATGACCAGCGTCTGGTCATGACTTCGCGCTGTTGGCTGATCTTCGCCTGGTATCATCATTTGATCCTCATGCTGAGTCTGTAAGTGGACCGATAATTTTGCCTTTGTGCTCTATTTGACTATTGCACTAGTTTGAGAATCATGTTGGGATAGTCTCAGAGGCCTCAATCACGTCGCTCAAAGGTTTTCTGCAAAATTCCAAGCGCATAAACTGCGTGGGCCGTTGATGACACGGTTAATACCTCCTTTCTTTGCCGTTGACGGTGATCAAAAAGAGTCAAATAATGCAGAGGCAATCCAACAAGCGCAAACACATTGAGCCTGGACAGGAGTCAATCATTAAGAAGATGTGTATATAAAGATGATCCGCTTCCGTCCGACTAATGAATGTAGAATAGCCTGTTTGATTTTAAAGTGGAAGCGAGATTAGAAAGCAATGTAGGCGCAAAAATGGCATTACTGGAGTTTCATCTGATTAATTTATTTGTTTATCTTACTTTGTTTAACTACCTTTAAGACTTTCAAGCAGTATTTATGAGCGTAGATAGGAGCTCCATGGAATTGTTAGGCACAAATATTAAACCCTTATAAGCGCCTGTAGCAGGATTTGGTTAAAGATCGCAGCTTCACTTCGGTATCTGTCAAACTTCTCTTTTATTCCTCTTCTCCGATTACAGCGCCAGCCCCGTGGCGATATATCTCCCGTTTGATCTCGCTTCCCGAGTCAAATTGATCACCAATTGGATGAATTTGGATCCCCGCAACCCACCTCGTCTTGTCGACAGTCCTACATTCATTATACCGGTTCCAAAGCTTGCACGTACAAGTAATATATACTGGCGCCGAGTCTTGGATAAGCAAATTCCCTCTACTCCTCGATTGGCACTGGAGACAGGAATTACCTTTCATACTGAGGACTTGAGAGATGCGGTACTTCAAAAGATAAGAAATAAATACTGGGAGAATCAGTATTTTGTGGCAGACAAGCAATATGGGATTTCTCTTATCATGATGGACATGGGAAATGCTCTTCTGTGTTGAAATACACCCTTTGTTTTGTTTCTACATACCTAGACTTCTTTCATGTCTCTGTCTTAGGCTTCTTGTGCGTTACCAGACAGGAGGCCTTTAGTAGATTTTTGGTAGTTCACCTAAACTTTCTTTTGTGTAAGAGGACAGTGAAGCCACACCTTTGGATGCTGCTTGGAAAATGGACCTTACGAAGCTTTAAGCAGCACTTTAATAGCTGTGGACGAGGTTATAACGAGAATACGGTATTGCAGAACCAATTCATTGAAAAAAAAAATAGTAAACATTATATCCGCTAACTAACTCATGCAATTAGACAAGGCTCAACAAAGTTATTAGCTTTGACAAGTTTATCATTGTAGATATAAACAGAGCAACTCTTGGAAAGGAGTTTTCCATGTGCTGAACATACTCCTTTGAGTTTTCTGAGTTTGTTTTGAGTTAGAGTACAAGAAACTGGATGTACTCACCTCGCTTAGACTTCTGCTTTCTTTTACACCTCCTATGGGTCAAGTATCTGAGTAGTTTGATCTACAGCAAGCATTAGTATTAGACCAAAATCAGTTTTCTGAATTAACAACAACCTATCAAGCATCAGCCCTTGAGTTTATGACTCTTTCAAGCTTTCACAAGCGGAAAGGTAATCACATGGTTACGTGACAGTCCGAAGTCCACCCGACGTGGTGCGTGCATGACGCGGTCTGCCGCTACTACCCCAGAAAATCACTTCTCATATCTGACACCAAACAACATCCCACCAACCTCCACCAAAAACAAACCACACACCATGCACGATGCCGCCCGTGCAAAGGACCTTCCAGCTGGTGCCCGAAGTGGCCAAGCCCATGTCCCGACCTCCCATGACAAGCAAGGCCGCGAAAAAGGCCTACATGAAAGCCAACCAGGGTCCGAAGGTGTCTAGAGCCGAGCAGAGACGACTAGACAGGGAGGCAGTGGAGAAGACGAATAAGGAATATGAGAAGGAGAAGGCTGCTGCTAAGGCGAGAGCTGTGAGGGAGAAGAAGGCTGCGAAGGCTCTTGCTGAGAAGGAGGAGAGGAGGAGGAAGGGAATACCCGAACCAAGTCGATTCGTTAGAGCCAGCCAGCCGACTATTTCGCGCTTTATTAGACCTGGAAGTAAGAGAACAAGAGAAGATATGGAGAATTTAGATGAGGACGAGGAAGCAGAAGACACACCGGCAGAGGATGAGGCTTTTGAAACCATCTTGGAGGAGTCGAATATGGAAAAGTCTGAGGAGCCTAAAGATGGAGATGCGCCGGTCGGGAAATTTGTCAGCTCATCAGCCAACATGGAACCTCCGGCAAAAAAAGTGGCAATGACGATGGAAATAGAGTCCGAGGATGAATTTGGAGACTTCCCATCATTGTCGCAGACAGATATACTGCAGAAAGTAGACAGCCCAAGTGTTTCTTTCAATCAGGATGAGGCAGTCCCACATCTAGTGCAAAAGGAACCCACGGAGTCTGGCTCAGATGACTTTCCTACCCTTTCCCAATGCGAAATTCTAGAGAAAGGAAATCTTCCGCCTGGAGCTATTACGATATCTCGAAGTTGTACTCTCAATGCTGGGAGGCCTTCAAGATCGCCTTCGCCTGGAAAGGTTACGCAAGAAAAGTCGAAGCTGATTACGAATTCAAACTTATGTGGCGAGGTTTCATTTGCTGAGTCTCAGTTGCTGGTTGACATGGCGCAAACCCAAATCCCCCCAAAGCTCTCCGAAAATGAGGCAAGATCTGATGGAGTGAAGTCTGTGGAAAATATGCAGCAACCCGCAATATCCCTAGATAGCACTCCACAATCTATCAATGTGAATGCGCCGCTAAACACCGTCAGCGATCAAAAGCCTTATACAAGTCATGCGATAACATATCCCCCTAAGCAATCATCGACCCCTCGCACAGCCAATATGCCTCCTCCAAAGTTTTTGCCACCTAGACATCCCCTACACGATCGTTCAGTAAATAGCATGCCGCCACCAGCATTACCAAAACAGAACCAGGCAAAATCTGTTTCCTCGTTGGGCCCAACCTCTAGATTCTCAAGCCGAAACACATCAGTGCGAGGATACAGATCTCCAGCACCAAACCTACCGCCGACTCCCACTCAAGCATTCCTTGAAAACAACCTAGACGATTTCTTTCCTAGCCCAAGTCAAGAAATTCGCGAGTTGCTTGATGATATGGATGATTTGCCATCTAATACACAAATTGCCCAGGAGTTGAGTCCTGTAAAGCAAATATCAAAGGAAAGCAATGATTCGTTCAAGGTCCTAATTTCCACACCGGACTTTGCAACATCATCTGGAGATATGTGTCAGTTGAATACGCCGAGTCGACCACCCAACCAGATGTTCAATCTGAGACGAGATTCAGCGCTGCCAGGAAAATATAGCAAAGATCTCAACCAGCCACATCCATATCCTCGCAGCCCGCTCATGAAAGAAAACACTATGAAGCCTCCGCCAGTTCCTTCGAAACGCATGGAATGGACACGTCCCAAACCTTTCATCGCAACTGCTAAACCAGTTACCACCTTCCAGATCCCTCATACAGAAACTACGACTCGGACCCCACTACGAACATCCGCTTTAGCAAGATCTCAGAATGCAAATACAACTACTCCCACGCCTGTTATACGCCTTCCCCCGACCAACGAAAAAATCAAATCCTCATCTCCAAAACCTCCTCCAATCCCGCCCAAGACGCCCCTCTCACCCCCACCAAAACGCCGTTTCTTCGAAGAAAAAGAGGAAGACCTCCTCCACGGCGCCCTCTGGGAAAGCCGCCTAGAAGCCCGCGCCTTAGAGAAAGCCCGTCAACAAGCCGAAGCCCAAACTTCCGCACGAAAAAAAGCCCAAGCTCGTCAAGGCGAAGGACTTCTCCAACGTGCGGTCCGAGAAGCCGAAGCACGTCAAGAGCAACAACAAGCAGCACAGAACAAAGCCGCGAAAGAATCTCCATCGCAGAATAAGAGGACACTGCAGCGAGCTGGCTCAGCGACGGATTATGGCGATGATGAGTTTAGTGGGTGTTCGCAGGAGTTACTTGCGTTGTGCTGTTAAGATCCTTACGAATTTCCCTTCTTGTCCTCATTTGTATCGTTCCCCATTTTCCATTTTCTCTTTCCGGGGTCTCGTCCCTCGCACTCTTGGCGCCTGCGTAGCATTTTTCTTCTTTTTCTTGTTCTTTTTTTTGTTGGGCGTAGGGGCGAACGCATAGTATGGGTGAAGCATTTTCTTTTACACCCTTTACGGTGGTTCATGATGATGTTTATTTCATGGGTTGGTGGCATTTTACTGGAGTAGGAGTACGAACCGAGGATAGATGTTCTATGGATGATATGAAAAAGGTTGGGTTGGGTTGTGTCGCGATGGTAATGATGAAGTTGCGATGGGAATGGGAGAATGGAATAAGATACCCCACAAAGTATGATAGGATAGTATTACGAAGTAGGAATTGCATGAGAGTAGTATCTTGACCATGAAATGAATGGATTGTATTTACTTACGTCTTAATACTTATTATATACCAAGATTCAGACATCACAAAGATTATACTATAACCCCACAAACCCTCACAACCCATCACAAAACATGAAAATTCCAGAACGAGTATTATGTCATGTTAAAAGTAGTCTTTGTATTCCTCTAGACTTCTTTTCTTCCTTTCTTTCTCATCGCTATGTAAACAACTACGTTCCACGCGGTCTTGGGGTATCCCAACTACGAACACTAAACTACCTACAAAAATAAAAAAGAACGAATCCCGAGAGAACCAATCCATCAAAGGTAAATTCCAAACCCCACCATGAAAAGAATCGAATTGCCAACCAAATCTTCAGCAGAGAGATCAGCAAGGGGGTATGTTGAAAAAAAAGATTGACGGTTCCTCCATTCTTGATATTCTTGTAATAAAAGAAAAATCATATCATCATCCCATATCCCTCCCAGTTTTTTTGACACCATTCATCCATTCAAGCACATTATTTTCTTTCCCTTCCCATCATCAAAGTCGTAGTAGTCGTCGAGTTCGTCCTCGGGTTTAGATGCACTTCATCAAAACTGGGTTTCCCTGGAGCAAACTAGCGTCCTTTCCATGGATGAATTTGACAACTGTCGCAATTCTGCTGCGAGTCTCGTCCTCCAATTGCTCGCCTGGCTCGTCCAAGACGGCTGCGAAAACGGGTAGGAGCTTGGGGGTCAAACTCATGACGGTTGGGTCTTGGTGATCGTAGAGGCCAGTAATACACTCGTAGATGGGCTTGTTCTCCTCATAATCCTCCTTCAGTGGAAGCAGGTCAACAATGATGGGGAGGATTTCAGCGACAGGCACTTGATCCTGGTGAGCCATAATCATGCGGCAGACACATCCAGAGGCATTGTCCAAAGTTCTAGCAACCTGAGTCTGAAGAAGGGGTTCCAGCTTGGTCAGGATTTCCTTGAAGGCAGGGAGGTAAAGGTTTGATTCTGTGGAGTGGAAAACGAGAAGACCGATCGCGTAGGCAGCGTTGGACTTGGTCTCGATATCCTCATCCGTCAAGCGGTGCAAGAGCAACTTCAGGAGAGGTTCAGTGAATTGACTAACGCCAGGACCCATGGTTGCTGTGCATTCAGCGATGACTCCAATGGCTGTAGAACGCTCGAAGTTGGTCTGGGATGATGCAAACTTCATCACTGGCTTTTGGAAAATCTTCCATGCCTCGGAGAACTGGGCACCGAGAGCAGAAGACAATCCAATAATAACATCCAAGGCGGTATCGATAACTAACCAATCATACTCGGAGGACTCTTCGTCATCTAAGGCTTCACGGTCATCATCGTCGCCAATGTCCTGTTGACAAGGGTGTGATTTGGTGATGATTGAGGCCAAGATGGTCATGGTTCGATCGGCGAAATCTGGTTGTGCTAGGATAGCGGGACCACATAGCTTCAAGGTTGCAGCCACATTTCGGTTGATATCGGTGACAACGGATCTGTTGGTTCGCAATGTCAGCATTTGCAACTTTACAATTGGTAAAGTATAGAAAGACTTGATTGCAATGGATCAGAATGTTGATACGCTTTCTCAGCAATTGCAACTTGTGCATCTGAGTGAGCTGGGATAACGTCATGTTGTTCATCATTTCCAAGAATGAAAAGAAAATTGGGGAATGAGCTTACCTATCAACTTCGTCTTCCCACAAGGACAGGGTGGCGGCGGTGACAACTTCGCCCAATTTGAGGACTTCCCCAGAAGGCTGAGTATTAGGTGGTAACCCAGGAGTCCACTTTACTCCGGTGTGGTCCTCCATCAAAGCCCATAAACAAGCGTATGCTCGCCATAAGGTGGCAATTGCCGTCTTTCGTACACCTTCGTAGTGATGCTCGACCAAGCCCATAACAGACTCAATTGTCTTCTCGAAGTACGGAACGAAGTTCTTTCGAGTGTGTGAAAGCACATCGCCAAGGACTTCAATGGCAATTTCCTTCTCAAAAGCAATTGCGGAAACACCAAATCCATCGGGATCAAACTCGTCATCATCATTTTCCATACCATCGAGATCCTCGATATCGTCGTTGGCCGCAACTACCTTGACCTTTTGGCCACCAATGGTAACTTCTTGTCCAACAAGGTCCTTAGCGTGCTCACCAAGCTCAACATCCAAATCGGTCTCCTCTTGTTCTAAGCTCTCCATGAGTCCCTTGACGACACCCTCAAGGAAAGGTGTGAAACCCTCCTCGTACACCTTGGCTAGAGTACTCCATAGAATGTAGCTGGTTTCTCGTAGGCGCGGGTGTCCCAAGTGGAGGGCTTCCTCACTTGCTCGCATGAGTGGGTCAACATATGGCTGGAAGGCGGCGCCACCAACAGCAGCTGCCATGCTTCCCATAGCATCGCATGCAGTGGCACGGAGGTCGAGCTCATTTTGAGAGTCCTTGATTGTGACGAATGCGGAAAGAGCTTTCATGGTTTCCTCAAAGTATGGTAAGAATGCGTCCTCGGCTGAACCAGCAATTGATCCCATTGCACCTGCAGCACTTGCTTTGACAGTGAGATCTGAGTGGCTGAGCAGTCTTCCTAGTCGGGGAATGAGCTCTGGGAGATATGTTGTCATGACGTCCTTCTCAAGACCTTCGGTGACAGAGTCCAAGGCGCCACCAGCAGCCTTGAGAATTTCAAGATTCTTGCGTTGCTCAGACTCACTTGGTGCTTGAACACTGGCGGAGTCCAAGTTCTTGAGCAGAGCTGGGATGAGTTCAGCGTGGTGTCTGCCTAAGTCCTCGGAGAGATCATCGGCAAGTCTTGCTACTCCATTCAAAGCGGCATTTCGAACGCCAACGACAGGATCGTTTAAGAGCTTTAGAACAACAGGGACCAAAGAGTCCAATTGTGTGCCGATGAAATCTGGAGCGCCCTCAACACACATGCCGAGAGATAGGATACCAGCTTGGCGATATTGTGGAGACTCATTGTTGACATATGAAGGGAGGGCTGCCAAAAGAGGAACGATAACTTGTCTAGGTGGAAGACTGCTAGCAAGGAGATCCAAAAGACCAAGGGCTGATCGGTGTGGGTTGACTTCGTCGTCCTCGTCATCATCATCGTCAATCTCAGTAGCAATTTGCACGGCCTTGAGAGTGAGGGTTTCGCCCAAATCCTTTGTCCCTTGAATCTTCATCTTGCGGAAGCGAGCAGCTTGCATGAGGAATGAAAGAGCTTGGTTTCGAGTGTCATCAGAAATTTCAGTGTTGGATGCAATGTCGATCATGAAAGTCATAAGATCCTTGAAGTGGGTGTTCAAGAGAGCAGTCTCGCAGCCGAGGAGTGTCTGGAAGACTTCGAATGCTTGCATAACACGCTCCTCGTTGTCCTCGTCAATAGCAGCTTTCAACACTTTCACCATTCCCGGGAATAATTGCACAAAACGAGCAAGGTTTTCTGGGTCTTCCTCAGGTGAGATCAACATAGCGACTTTGCTGAGGCAGAGGAGGGTGTTGGTTCGGACTTCTGCGCTCTCGGCATCCTCGAGGGTGGTGGCAAAGAGAGAGAAAAGACTTGGGATCTTGTCTTCGAAAGCTTCACCAGCTACCTCGAGCAGACTGAAGAGGATATAGACTCCAACCTCGCGTTGTGAGACGACATTGGAGGTAGAGGCTTGCGCGAGAAGTCCTGGAAGGGTAGCCCACTCTCCATCCTCAAGATCAATCTTGGCGATGGCAGCGATAACGCGCGCCGAAGCGTGTCGGACGAGAGATTGTTGCTCAGCAAGTGTGAACTCGAGGAGCTTCTCGCGGATGGCTGGTTTCTGGTCGGCAGGTTGAGCCGCCCAATGGGCCTCGATCAATCTGAGTGCCTCGACGGAAGCTTGCTGGCGGGTTTTGGGGTCCTCATGGGAGGTGAGGATGTGCAAGAGCCAGAGGAGGGTTTGTGGGTGAGGGTAGTAGTCCTTTCGCAGCTCAGCTGTGGTAGCCTTTAGTCTGTCGGTATCCGCTGGAAATTAAAGGTTAGCAAAGTGACTGATACTGAGACTGAGACCAACTGGTCTGGCCTAGATAGTAAACATACGAATCTGCACGCTTTGCAAAAGCTCAACAAGGCGTTGTTGGTTCATCTTTGATACTCAGTACGCGCTCTGGGGCACGCAAAGACCCGGTTGGAAGGTATCAAGATGAAGTCTCTGCTTTGTTGGAGGGAGAGAGGAGGGAGATGAAGAGAAAAGTTGTGATTTTATGGAGGGGCAGAAAAAAACCAGCCGATTTGACAAGGATCTTTAGCGTGTTTTTCTTGATGCCTGATTCATGCCTGTTGGTCAAGGCTACACAAAGCTTTTCCCTCTAATTTGTGGTCATGTTTTTCATGATCCACTCCAACAATTGAACTTGTGAGTGACTTTCTTGAGAGATCTTGGATTCCTAGGGAAGAAAAAACGTTCTTCTGAACTGCTGTGCAAAACATGTGATCTTGTGAGAGGGCAATACACATGGATCTCACAATTCCCAAAAGGTGGGGCTGCAATTATGTGGCGATTCACCTTACAACTCCAATCTGTCGCTCAACAGCTTTGTTTACCTAGGTAATTTCACAAGTACTTTCTGTCATCTAACTTCCAACTTCTAATTACGACTAAACCTTCCCAGTCCAAAATACTCTATGGTTCTGGATTTACTCTTACTCAGACCCTGCCTCCCGGTGGACAAGAAAAGTGGCAGAGATTCATTTTTTAAAAATATTAGCGTAAGTTAATTCCAAGTACTAAAATATTCAAAATATCTAGAACAATTGCCCTTATTGTGCTATCGTTTTCGGTAAATCATTTTAATTGTTCTAAATAGTCAATATAATATAGTGGTTTTTAGTTAAGTTAGGATAAGATAAAAGATATCTCTGCTACTATTCTTGTCCACCGGGAGCCTGTGCAGATTTCTTCTACTGTGCTTCTATAACTGAAGTGTTTATTCCAACCATTCAAAACACTAGCTTTAGTTGTCCGTAACATCTACCTAGTTGAATGCTTCTGGTTCTCTAAAATGGTCAGCACAAATCCTTCATCTATATGACAAACTTGGAAAGTCAAGGAAAATATTCCTTTAGCGTCCATCCCTCCCTGTGAGAGTGTGACCACAATAGAGAAGTGGCCACTCAATCCAGACAAATTCTCATACCTTCAAAGCATATAGCACATTAACTATGTTTCCAAGAATTTGCTTTAAAATTACCTCTGTTATACATCTAGGCATTCCATTCCAGCTCTAAGCTAATCTTTTCAACTTTTTCGCCCGCTCAAATGCTACTCATAGTCCCTGCCAATGACCATCCACATCCACGAAAAAAAAAAACACAAATATTACAAAAAGGGGTATCGTCTCATCTCTCCAATCATCAAAAGAATCATCAAACACAAACACACTCAACTACAAAACAAGTGCCACACAAAAAACACTAACCAACCCCGCCCCACTCCACCAAAGACTCGACCCAACATCTCCCCTCGCCTTCCCACTCCCATTCGTACTCTTCGGCAACTCAGACGAACTCCCATTAGGCTTCTGCTCAAACCGATTCCCAGGGGAGTTCGTAATAGCCGGTCTGCTGGCCGACGAAGTCACCGGCACAGTAGGCTTCACAAACCTCGTCTTCTCCTTATCGAAACTCAGACACAACTCTGCGAGGCCAAAGGTGGTGGCAGCGATCTCCTTCGTCACCTGAGTGCCGGGGAGATTAATGCCCGGGAAGTCGATGTCGAATTGGGCCTGGACGCCTACGTCGAGGATGACGACGAACTCAACGAGCACGAGGGAGGGGAATTTGAAGGGGACGATGTCGGTGGTTGGCGAGGAGGCGTTGGCGACGACGGGCTTGCAGTTCTCGTCTAGGTTTGTGCCGGTGGAGATGCTGAATTTGAGGGTGGGGATGTCGAAGAAGGCTCCGACGTCTGCTTTGCCCTGGCCGTTGAAGAAACTAAGGCCGAAGGAGAGGTCGACGCGGAGACCGGCTGAGAGAGCCAGGGTTACGGATGGGGAGGTCGCTTGGAAGGGAATGGCTTTCACGCTTGTCCTTTGGAAGCCTGAGACGGTGGAGTTTTGGATTTTTGCAATTCCCAAGGTGATGGTTGAGTTATCGGGGACTTTGATATCAAAACCGGTGGAGAAGTTAAGCTCCCCGTTGAGTTCGATGGAACTTGTGAAGACGGGTCGGAAGATTGGGCCAATGGTGACGATTCCTGGGATTTGGAAACCAGGAATTCCGACTTCGATGAGTGTTCTCTCGAACTCTTTCTTGGATGCTAATTTCAAACTTGCTTCCAATGCAATGTGTGCGGTCATGTTGTTAACTACAGCCCTGATGAAACCGTCATTGAAGAAATCGACAGCTGCCGTGAGTGGGTTGCTTTCGTCGCTCAAGGTAAACTCGCCATCGACGATATCAACGGTACCTGCGATCGCGCATTCTTTGCAGGCAACCTTTACGGACTCGACACCATTACCTGCAACAGTACTATATCAAAGTTAGCACTAATATCTTCGATGGATATGATGATCTACTCACGGGAATGTCTGTTCAAAAAGCACTTGGTTGGGATTGAATTTGGTTCCATTCAAGCCTTTGGCAATATCACCATGCGCTGTCAAAAACCGGTCATTATTGTCGGTAGGTTGTGGCTTCGAAGATTTCGTAGTGGCAATTGCAGTCGCGGGTCTTGAGAAAGTTGGAGATGCAATAGCTTGTCTTTTTCGAAGACCTTCATGGGTTCGGAATGAGTTCTCTGGGTACTGGCCAATTTGTGAACCAAACTTGACTGTCATGGTTTTGTAGGCATCTTTGAAGGTGATGGGCTCAACAGCGAACTCAGCTGTTTTTTTCTGGAGATCGTAGTGGATGCCGGAAACTAGGTATGGTGCTCGCTCACCATCTGCATTGCAGCCTGGATGGGCTGAAATGATGAAGAAAGCTCCTAAATTATCCCAGCTTGGTCGAACAGAGTCGAGTGTTTGACCATCTGGGAATTGGACAGTGATAGAAGATTGAGTGCATTGAATGCCTCCCACAACCATCTCAATGTCTTCGAGGACAAGAGCTGGAAGCTTATATGTGGTGATAGTCTTGGAGAATCGTGACCTTCCTCCACTAAGCGAGGGTATTTCTATGAAAGTTATGTTAGCGACGCATAAAAAGGAACACCATCCTACAAAACAACATACCTTCAGCATAATGATGGGTAGCCTCTTGCTTTGGTTTGAAAGCCTCTTCTCTCGATTGCAAAAGTGATCGTACTGTCACTGCCGATAATTTAGGGTGAGCAACCGGTACGGCCCTATGAGAAACAGAATCAAAATCGAAGGCATTTCCGAGGGATACAAGAGCGAGCACAGGAACCACGAGACCAGAGATGAAAGAAACCATGACTTCGACGGGAGATTGCACAACTTAAGCTTAGTGTAAGCTTTCAAGCAATCAATGCTCTCAAAAAGGGGGGATTAGTAAAAGAGAGACTATCAAAGCCGAAGAAACGAATTAAGTTGTATGGAACCTTTGTATAAAAAAGTCATTCTCGAAGGATCGAACTGGGGAACCGAGCTTTATATCAAGAAAGGAACATTTATTCTCGGGGTAACTTTAATCTGCCACAGGGAATGGACGGTCAGGCTGATCCTCCACTCTGTTATCTATGATGTGCTCGGTAGATGTTACTCGGAGGATCAAATTTTGGCAGAGGGGGACAAGTGTAAAATCCCGGATGCAGGAGACTCGAACCTGGTCAACACAGAGCCTCCGCCTCGTCCCCTGTTGGTTTTCCCCAGCTGTGCCCATTCCATCCTCTATGCTCATTGGTTTGTCCGAGCGATTGAATCCTTCGCTGGGGTGATATGTTGACATCTGTACTATATTTGCCTACTACTGCATGGGCAGTGTATTGTATAGTACAAGGCTGTGTCGCGGGTGTCTGCAGAACGGCATACGTAAAGTGAAAAACACGCCCACGGGTAGCATGTTCAACCATGGGGTGGGCGGGCGAGCACATGAGAATAGTAGCTCAGGGGGGCAAGTCACGGTATATTTCCGGAGTCACCAAGCCCTGCCTGTTGACAAGAACAGGCATGGCAGCAGCGTGGGGACCCGGGACGGGTGCGGGCGGAGGCTGAGATGTTGAAGCTTAGCCTTTTTTTCTATACTTGGGTATTTGACGTGAACATCGCCACCTTCTGTGCTATTTCAACTACATGAAGTCTGAAGCTCAATGTGGTGATTCCATCCTTTCTCATGGCGAGCTATTCCGAGCCTCGACAAAGACAAATGGACAATACCCAGAATTGAGATAGAATTCTCATAAGTTCCGAGAGTCTGACCGTTGCCAAGAAGGTTCCCCTGTAGTTTACCGAACAGGTTCAACTTATTGTGTAACTGACCTGCACAATCCCACGAACCCCTCAACTCACACCAAGACGAGAATCAAATTCAGTTCACGACCACACGGAGAACTCAGACGTAATAGAATACCATATGTCCACATGCAGCTATATTTACGGGTCCCAAAGTCCCCACAAACCGCGTGGTTTTCTGGTAAGCGAACTGTGGGAGGTGTAACATCCCATCAAGGTTTTTTCAGGCCGACATTTGCCTTTTGAAACACCTTGGCACGTGTCTCGAACGGAACCTCATGATTTTGGGCACAAACACGCATCTCAATCCATGATCGACCACCATCAACGTCCAGGAAAGATCCGGAAATAACGCGTCTTGATTTCCCCTTATCGTCCAATCTCTCGCGCTTATTCTTGAGCCGCAATATACAGGAAACATCTTCGATGTGTCTGTGTGCATCAATTGAACCCCAACCCCGCCTCCGCCTCCACCAACATTTTCCGACCCCACCCACCGCTTTGCAGAATCAGATGTGTAATATATTGCAACCCTACTCAGTACGGATTGTATTACTTAAACAACACCGCCAATGTCCAAAAGTTTGGATGTAACAAAACTAAGCCCTGCCATGCACCTGAGCTGAGAAACAAAAACCTGCACGCTGCATCCAGACTCGGTGGTCGCGAAGCCAATTACAACCATACTAGGCAATCTCGAAGTTTCATCAGGATCCACGATCACCGAAACCAGCATGAAGCTGAGAGTCGAAGGATGAGAATGTAACCCAGCACTTTTCTTTCACCATTAAAACAACAACACAGAATTTCACGATCCACCAATTCTCATGAACTTCGACGGTACGGAGAGCTGGGCGCAACTAACCGCATGCGTGATGCATACTCCCTTCCAACAGTCATCAGGATCTCATAGCGACATCGAGACACAAGTCCTCACTCCAACCTATCAAACCAACAGCTGATATACCATTGACGAAGTACGAGCAACGAATTCCTTATTCCGTTGTTGGTGTTTTCATGCAATGCAGTTGGTTGTATGTAATTTTACGTTAACGAGGCTGGGTCGAGGCGTTTCCATTTCCATTTCCATATACAGAAGCTACTGTATGTTTAAGACAATTCTGTGCCTCTCTCATACAGCACTACAGTATCTTCTTCCATCCGTCTTCTTTTTCTTCCCCTGATTGTTTCCACTCCACCGAAGTCGGCAAGATACCTCGAGATTAGAAACTCGGTCTCTTGAATTTCAAACCCCTTCACCATCATTCTATCAAGAGGGATTCTTTCGCTGGTGCTACTACGAGAAAATGCAATCAAAAAATGATGCTAGTACAAGTGTCTACATCTTCTCTTTTCCACTGTAAAGAAGTGGCCCACCGGAGTCTCACCCTTCAACTACAGCACAGCTCTGGCCTAAACCCTACCTACTCAGATTTGGGCACTACAGACTTTCACCACCTACAATTTACGTGACAGGCCGTAGTTTTCACTGGCCATCTCTCTTTACTTTTCAATCCGCAACCCATCTATAAAGGGTCTGTACAGCTCGCGTCACCCCCCTTCCCCCCTGTAAACGAGTTGTTATCGGAAGAGTTCACACCTATAATACAGCCTTCTAAGCCAATTAAATGGTCCGATTCATATGGAGGGGGAAACCCAGCTATCTAGACCAGACCCTTAACATCAATCCACCCTTACCCCTCCTCGTTTCTCGGAGGATTATTTATAATATTAGCATTAGAATTAAGTAAAAGCTCGATACTCTCATATAGTATAAAAATATTAACGCTCGAGATTCCAAGGGACTAAGGATAGGGTTAAGATTATTACTATATTAAGGCTATTAATAGCAAGAACCGTTAGAGAAAGTGAGAATTGAAATGATGTTTGTATTGCTGCTGCGCCAACTTGTCCCGAAGGACGCTCGGGATTTGCTTAATAGTACATATAACCACTCCCCTGTTCCAAGTTCCATCCACCCACTCCGTTGTGAAACTATAACTTGCGGAGATAGCACGGATCCTTATTATCCGATACAACAATTTCATATAATAAGTTATTAGCTGGAGAAGAAATTCGATATAAGAATATAGTTAGATTACAAATACTAAGAATAAGCTTTGAAGGAGAGGTTTGTAAGTATGAGTTAGTAACCGGCCTAAGATATACGATTTGGTTTTGTAAGTGATTGATTGATTCAATCGGTTATGTGTATCTTGAGTAGTAGAGGTGTAGAGGAGATGTGCACCGTACGCTGGTATTCGGATTGTAATTTGTGATTTGGGGCTAGTGATAAGTATATGAATCTTTGAATATCAAAACTGTTTGAAATTTTCCATCGCGCGAGTCTTCTGATATATATCTTAGCAAGCAACGATAGCGCTACAACTTCCACAAATACAAACATCAGAAAAAAATTGATTTGCTAAACAGAGGTTAAATGTATAAGGGGTATCATATTCACATCACATCACATCACATCACATCATTCCACACTCTTCAAACCCTCTACTCTATCAAATAACCATAGCCGTCTCCCCGTCCCCATCTCCAGCACCATCCTCCTCCCCACTCTCATCCAGATCCTCCAGAGGGAAAGTAAGAATCGCCGCAACACCACTCAAATTCTCCAACCTCTTCCCACTCTCATGATCACTACTTAGAATCCTCACCTCGCCGCCACCCCCCTTAACCCGATCCACCAATCCCACCCATCTCTTCCTCACCCCCACCTCCTGGGCACGGAACAGCGAGTTGTTGATCAAGAGAACGCCACCGGGACCAAGGCCGCCTTTTTCCGCCGCCCGCTCAACCTCAGAGGGACCGTACCAGGCTCGTCCGTCGTCTTTACGTAGCATGGCGCTGAAATCGTCCATGTATTGAGATTCTCGCGCGTACTTGGTGTCCTTCAATTTTGCGAGGACGGCAGGGGATTTCATGATTTCAGTCAAGGAATGGAGATGGCCTGAGGAACTGTGGACGACGAGGAAATTCGATTTATTCCCCAGAAGCGCTTTATTCCCCGTTCTCGTCGCTTCACTAATGATATACTTCTGGAAACCCGCCGCGACGAAACCGGGACTGGCGAGGAGTAAAGGCCGTGGTTGGGTGATATCCACGTGGCGTAGTAACGTCTCCAGAACTGTAGCGAAGAATTTATCCAGGCCTTTGTCGTGGTCTCCCGCTCGTCCGGAGCGCTTCTTGGGGATGGCGACTTCGACGCGTTGCTTGAGGACGGTTTGGTACTCGGTGATTAGACAGATATTCGCCAGGCCCTCCTGCATCACGACCGCGGGGACGACGCCTTCTTTATCCACCCGTATACTCTCGCGGATCATATCCAACGCCACGCTATCCCAGCCATCTTTCTTCGTCAATGTGAAATTTCTCTGGAGTTCTAAATCGAGAGTATGGTACGAGCCCATTGGCACGAATGTGTTTTCCTCCACTACTCTTCCTGACACATGGAGTTGCGAGACTTGCGGGTCGAAGGAGAGCGATGTGGTGAGGATGCTGATGGTGGTGTGGATGCGCTTGGAGTTTGTGCTACCCGTTGAGGATTCGGTGGTTACTTTTCGGACGGCTGAGGCGCGGAGGGTGTCGCCTACTGCTATTAGGTTGTAGGCGTGCCACTGAGATCATCGTTATTATATTTTGAAAGGAGAGAGGGGGAGAAGAGGCGTGCCATGTCTTCTGGTTCTTGGGGGAGGAGAGTGACGGAGCCGGAGCCGTCGCGCTCGATGATGTCTTGTTTTATGAGGCGCATGGCTATTGAGGGAATTTCGAGGATAATCCGGTGATATTAGTATGATTTGCGCAATATCCGGAGGTGTATGTGTATCTGTTGGTGGTTTTGCTTATATCAAATCGTAAGGTTGTTTTCTTTGTCGTTTGTGAATGTTGCAGTGAGGAGGGGCAAAAGATCCATGTTCAAGTACTTGCGCGCGTGGGGTGAAGTTCCAAGTGGGGAATGAATAATCATGGCATTTCACTAGATATTTATTTCAATTCTTTGAGCCAATAGACACTTCGATCAACCGAATGAAGTATAGAATTCTAATCAGAAAATGAGGTCATGATCGCAAGGGAAAGTATATCACAAATAAACATTCACTCTTAAAAATAACCAATCGGGTAATGACGTCAAGTAACCGCGGGGTCAAAACATCCAAAACCCATACAGTTCAACCGCCTAAGCTCCCCTTAAAGCTTCCTAATCACACCAACCCATCATATCTCCTTATAAATCTCCCCAACCATCACCCCTCATCAACCCCTCCTCCCCCCAATTCCAAATAATGAAATCCGCAATCCAAAGATTAACCCGTCTCAAAAACCAAATTCCAAATCCCAGATCCCTACACTCTCAAGCACCGTAAGTCGGATTTCCAATTCCGCGCATTTATCCTTCCGTCGGGTCAACCTATGTACCAATGTCCTACTCAATAATAGATTGTGGGGCTTGTCTACAGGTACTTACACTGGAAGTTGTACCTCGCATCTCTTTTGACATTCTAATTCCTTTTCATGGAATTTCTCGAGTGTGTACGGTAAAGCCGAAATAAGATCTGTTATCACCGAATACATCTAACGGAGTTACCTTTCTTATCGAGGAATGAGAAAGCAGGTGTTGATTAGTTTCTTTTTCCCTCTATTTGAGAGAAGTGAAAGAAGTGCTTTGCCTCAGACTTCTATATAAGATTGATTTCTCCTTCCTTGGATTGAGCCAGTTTATTCAAGCACATCGATTGTGGACGTTCAGACTACGAGCTAGAAGATATTGATATTGATTCTTATATTGCGAGCAGGAAAACAATGGCGGCTCTCACTATCAACTCGAAGATTCGTATGAATTCTGGTTATGAGATTCCGAGGTTGGGATATGGTGTATGTACCTGATCATCTGATTTTGGGGATTTGTTTGACTGATTTGTTGGTTTAGGTTTATCAAACGTGAGTCCTTGGGAGCCTTGAGATTAAATTGAGTTGAGATTAATTCTTTGAAGACCAGCGGATGTAACGGAGGATGTTGTCACGAAAGCGTTTGAAGCTGGGTATACTCACGTAAGTCATAACTTCTCATTCACATTCAACTCATTCCATTTTCAAATGGTTGCCCTTCCATTCGCGAGGGAATAAGCGAGGCCATGCATCTATCCTCGAACACTCCCTCACATATTCAAACAAAACCCAACCCATCCCAAAAACAAACCAAACCATCAACTAACCCCCCCAGATCGACTGCGCAGTAGTCTACCGCAACGAACAACCCTGCGGCCTCGCAATCTCCAAATCCTCCCTCCCCCGATCCTCCATCTTCTTCACCTCAAAGGTAATGGCCCGCCCCCTCTCCTACAACGTCGCCAAAACGCAACTCGCCTCCACCCTCAAGAACACCGGACTCGAATACCTCGACCTCTTGCTCCTGCACTCCCCCTATGGGGGTCGCGAAGGACGAAAAGGGGCTTGGAAAGCATTAGTCGAGGCGCAAGAGGAAGGCAAGGTCCGCAGTATTGGCGTGAGTAACTTTGGACGCCATCATTTGGAGGAATTGGAGGAGATTATTAAGGAGTTGGAGGAGGAGAGGGGGGTAGGGAGGGGTGGGAAGGTGGATGTTGGGCAGTATGAGATTCATCCTTGGTTGAGACATAGGGATATTGTTGAGTGGTGTGATAAGCACGGGGTGGTTGTCGAGGTATGTTTCCTTCTCTCCCCCTTTCCCACTTCCCACTTCCCTCATCCTCCCCCCTAAGCACCTCTTTACCCCACATCACCCAACCCACAAAACCTAACAACACAGGCCTACTGCCCCCTAACCCAAGCCCAACGCCTCACCTCCCCCCTCCTCCACCCCCTCGCAAAAAAATACAACAAGACCCCCGCACAAATCCTCCTCCGCTGGAGTCTACAAAAGGGCTTCGTGCCCCTCCCGAAAAGCGTCACGCCCACGCGGATTATAGAGAACGCGCAGTTGTATGATTTTGAGTTGACGGAGGGGGATATGGAGACGCTGGAGATGGATGAGTATCAGGTGATGTGTGGTTGGGATCCGACGGTTGCGAGGTTGGAGGATTAGATCGGTGATGGGATGACTTGGGTAATGGGATGAGAGGGGTGTTTGGACAGGGTATCGCGTGTTAGGGTTTTAAGTAGGGGAGGGAGAGAGAGAGAGAGAGTAATATACAAAAAAGTCACTCGTTACTCATTACCCCTTCCTCGTGTCTTAGTAAAGAACCCAAAGATAAAAATACATCCTTCCCCCCTCGCGTAACCCATCCATCTCGCTTAAATTAAAGCCAGATCCAGAATCCAAAATCCGGGGCTGGATACGCGATCAACCTCCACAACTGGCACACCAGCACTTTCGCCCTTCCCTACGCTTAACCCCCAAACCCCAATGTACTCTTTCCCCGGATACAGTAGATACGAAGCTCAACTACCGATTCCCACACATCCATCAATAAATACTATAACCAAGCGTCTCCAGAACAAACAAACAATACCAAGGGGATATGGCATGATAAAAAGAGGAGCTTAGATTACAAGATATCATGACGTTGTCTCAAGATTCTTCAATGAACCGATTGCATTAAGTGCAAAACATGTAATGTAACAACATCAAATAACAAAAACTAGCATAGCCAAAAAGAAAAAAGACCAGGCTAGCTATGTCCCCCCGGGTATCATTCACGCAATGCAATGCAATCCCCGCTCCCAAACGCCCGAAAAACAAAGCCCAATTTCACCGTCCTTACACTCAGTATACCTCGCATCACAACATCGCCGTACTTCATTCAACTTGTAAGTCATACCGTAGTCCAAGCCTCCCACTCCTAAAGACACTCAAACTTAGGAATCGTAGAATCATCATACCGCATTACTCCAAACATCATAAGTCCACCCATCATCCGGCCCGTTCAACGAGCCTGCCGCGTGCGCCTTATCGTGTGCCTCCTGAAGTTCCTTCGCAGCAGCAAAGACCTCATCCATACTACACTGTAACTTCTCAGCCGCGCGTTCGTACTTGTCACGTCCTGTAAAGACCATCAGCTTTTATGTCAACCTTTGTTGATTAAGGATTATGAGAGAATACATACCTCCTCGAATCATACACTTGATAAAAACGAGTTTTTGACGGTCGGACCAGGGCATCGGGGTAGTAAGACTCTTGTTGTTGTGAGGAAAAACTTCGACTCTCTCAACTTCATATTCATCCTCGTTTTCCTCATTCCTCTCATCCTCATCATCCTCTCCTCCCAATTTAGAAGAGGCGGCGCGGCCATTCTGTCGAACGACGTAATTATCCGAGAACGGGTCATCCTCCTCTCCCTCTTCATGCGTCAAACTCGCAAGTCGATGCTGCAAATTTTCCGTCCGCGAACCACCCCTCGAACTTCCAAGATTCTTACTCCCTCTTCGCTCAAATTCAGCGTAGTCCATTTTCTCCCTTTCCAAAGCTTCACGGATTTGCTCAGCTTGTCTTCGGTGAATTTCGTTAATTTGTCGACGACGTTCTCTTTCGATTTTCTCTTCCCCCTCTCGGTGTACTTTGGCCAATTCCAATTGGAGTCTTTTTACTTCCACATCCTCGAGAGAAGGAACAGGTTGGTCGTGCTCTCTCTTCATCTCCCGCTCTATCTGCAGTTTCAATTCCCTCGCAGCAGCACTTGTGTAAGATTTGAGAGCAGCCTCTTTCTGCATTGATCTACAAAGTTTGTGAATATGAGGCACAATCTCGCGTGTCGGTTTGGATGTTTGATAGTCGCCTTTCGGTTGGATGTTGGTAGGTTGGCTTATTGCAGAATCGGCCAATTCGCAGTACGAGTTCAAAAGAGTATGCATCTCTTGAAGCGATTGGCTTGTCGTTGCCCCGTCCTTAGTGTAACATTCTGAAGCAAGTTGAATGCAATCAAGCCAGTCAGGAAAAATATGAAAGTAGAGGTCTTTCAGAAGTTTCGTAACCATATATTCGTCCGCTTTCCCATCCAGCCTAGTAGACACCATTCTGGTTGCGTAGTCCGCTAAACGCTGCAGTCTGGAAGTAACATCTTCTTTGGCCTCGTCTATCGCTTCCCCACCGTCTTCTAAATCTGAAGCCTTAAGCGTTTCGTAGCTTGACGATAAGCGTACTAACAGCCGATGAATCTTCTCTCCGCCTTGAGTGCTGATTTTCTTGACTTCACTGACATCTACCCATTCCCTTGTTTTCCTATTTTGTGTGTGGCCAACCCGCCTAGCCTTTTCAATGAGTGATTCAAGAAGTTCAGTGTCTATGAAAATGGGATGACGTTCGCCGGAGTCTGTCGTTCCCTCCCTTTGTTTTTGTTGGTCCCCGGGTTGATTATCTTCCACAAATAGCGGAAGGTCCTCATCATTCTCAACGCCATTCTGAATATGGTTCTCTTCCTCATCACTTGACGGACTTTCATAACCGTTTGCAGGCCGGCCTCGTTTCGATTGCACTTTCTGTGTTGCATTAGAGGTTATCGCACCAGAACTTGGCTCAGTTACTTTGACTGGACTGGGGTTCATGAGAATATCGGTAAAACCTTCCTCATAATCTTGAGGGTCGATTGGGGGCACACTAGGCGAACTTGACGTCTCCTCGGCTGACTGTACTGTAGTGGTGATTTTCCTTGGACGGCCCCTAGAATGAGGTTGAGGCGCAGGCACAGCTATTTCCTGGTTATTTTTTGGGACAGAGGACGCAAGAGAAGCTGCTTTCTTAGATGCTCTCGTACGGTTTTTGGGACTGGATTGAGCCTTTTTGCCAGGCTTTCTGCCAGGACGCTTTTTGGGGGTTGAAGCTGTATTTTTCTCTGGGGTACTATGAATTACAACCTCCAGAGTTTGACCGCCACTGGTTTTAGGTGCTACCGGAGATTGCTTGCCCCTTCCCTTTGCTTTTCCACGCTTAGGCGGATTTTCGATGGGTTCGTCCTCGCTTGGTTTTTCAGCATCGGAGATTTTTTCAAGGGTTCTCTTCGCTGGCGACGCTTCAACGGACGGAGCCTGCACATATGAAAAAACCCTCGAAGCTTCCTCCATGAAGTCTGCTGCGTGGTCATCTCCATTTTGTTCGACCTCCTCCTCTTCTGCTGCTTCTGCTGCGTCTGCCTCTTCTAGATCTGCTTGAGTTGTGCCAAACAATCTCCGCGCTAAATTTCCAAAAGCGCCGAGGGGTAGTAGCGACCCGGCATTCTCGGAAGTAGATTTTCTTCTTGTGGCGGTGTTGAGCACATTGGCGATTTCCTCAGCACCGGTATCTCCATCTGATTCACGATCTGTTGACAAAACGGTTAGTGACAGCAGCCATGTTTTGGTGGCCGATGACTTGCCTGTTTCTGCAACATTAAATGTAATCGCTGGGTCCTTTTCTGTGGTCTTAACAGCTTTGTTAGCTCTGCTAGCTTGGGAGCTCTCGATTGTTGTCTCGCGAGGGCTCTTGCGTTTGGGAGGCATTGCAGGAAACGCCTCTCAATTTGAGTAGACAAAGATCCAAAGCACAACCAGGTAAGAAGCTGAGCCTCAGTAAGTTTCAATACGAATGGGTAGAAAACGTCTTTGGTGGTGGGGTGAAGCGAGGGGCAGATGTGATGTAAATGAAGCACCAAAGCCAGAGCTCCTGAATTTCGATGGCTGGGAAGGGGAAGTCGCGCGATGGACAGGGATAATAGTACCAGCTGGGCGTCCGACCTCGGCACCTTAACCGGGGCCGGGGGAAGCTTCCATCAAGCTTCTAGATCTCCTTCATCAACACGAGCACCATCAATTTGCTCTCACAACATCACGACACAAGGAACTCAGAATGAGTCTGCGAGAGCCGAGTTCCTCTACACAACCAGCTCAAGCAAAGTCGAGAAGTCTACCACTACTGGATCCATCAAAACCGCATACATTCCTTGCACCAGCCAAACGGATTAATGAAGGCCACGATGTTCCCTTCTTTCTCACGTCCAAGGCATATATTGATATTGGTGTCTTCATGATGCAGCTCAATATTGCGATGTGTCCTAGAAAGTCTCCGGGGACAGCACAAGTCCAAACATGGCAACTTGACGATAGCCTGATTCTTTCAGAACCCGTTCAGAAGCTTCAGGAAATGATGGAGAAGATCAATCAGTTCATTGAGGAAGCACCCCCTGATACTGGACCTCGAAGATTTGGAAATGTCAGCTTTCGAAAGTGGTGTGAAATACTGGAATCCAGAGTTCGAGATTTGCTTGCGGCTTATTTGCCCCAATCAGTACTTGAATTTTCCAGCTCCTCAAGTGATGTGTCTGTGCTGGACGAGCTTACTCCCTACCTTATGGGTGCATTTGGTAGTTCCCAAAGGCTTGATTACGGCACTGGTCATGAACTTAGTTTTCTTGCTTTTCTTGGCTGCATATGGAAGCTTGGTGGGTTTACAGAAAATGCATCAGGGGAGGGGGAGGTGGAAAGAAGTGTTGTCCTGGGCGTCATTGAACCGTACGTATTGCTGAATTGCAAAACCAAGAGTACGTTTCTAATGGAGGAGTTGTAGTTATTTGCGAGTAGTTCGCCGGCTCATTCTCACTTATACCCTCGAGCCAGCCGGATCTCATGGAGTATGGGGTCTTGATGATCATTCTTTCTTACCTTATATTTTTGGGTCCTCACAATACTGCCCAGCAATATCTGGAGCGGATCCTATGCCAGTAGAAGGAGCTCTTCCTGAATCTCCAGACCCTGGCGATATTGTCAAGAAGTCTATCGTTGATCGAGAGAGAAAACACAATATGTACTTTGCAGCAGTTGGTTTTATCAATGATGTAAAGACTGGTGCGTTTTGGGAACACAGTCCTATGCTATTTGATATTTCTGGTGTTAGAGCTGGTTGGGGAAAGATAAACAAGGTATGGACTTTGAGTTGGTCCACTGAAGTAAGTAACTAATAGACACCTAGGGAATGATCAAGATGTATAACGCGGAAGTTCTTTCCAAATTTCCAGTTGTTCAGCATTTCCCTTTTGGTTCCTTGTTCCCTTGGGAACAAGATCCGGACGCAGAGAAGCCAAGTTCTACAGTTCATACAGCAAATCAGCCTCCCAGAAATCAAGTTCAGACAAATACAACAACGGGAGCCCCCTCGCAAAGTACGCGTGCACCATGGGCAAATTCAACTCCTAGTGGAGAACCAGGAGCGACGGCAGCACCATGGGCCCACAAACCACCTGGTGGTTCACAGCAAGGACTTCCCCCTACGAGAGCTCCTTGGGCAAGTGGTACTGGAACATCACGACCAACGGGAAGTAATCCAATGTCTCCGCCATCGAGGGATCCCAATCAACCCACGAGAGCACCATGGGCGAGGAAGGGAGACGGAGGAGGAGGGTGACTTTTTCTGGTTGCTTCCATTTTATAACATTTAGGCAGAAATAGAAGTGAACTGTACCTCTACGAACATTTCACAACTCGGGGTAGCATGGTAGTTTGGTAGTATGGGGCGCAGTAGGATGTGTAGCATTCCACCGCATACCTCATGATTGTTGGCTGCTAAATCTCCGATCGACGTACAGATACGGTATACCACTTCGTACAAGTACATGGCTAACATCACGCATCGCTTCGAGGTTGCATTAGTGGAAGGGTGCCACTTTGATAAGATGGATCATTGCACTCCGTACACGAGATGTGTGAATCCTTCAATATCAATCTCGCAATGCCCCAGGCCGTTCTTCTAGGATGAATTTAGGCCTTGTATTCTCCAAAATTACGATGTTCGTAGGCTCATTTCTTGTTATATTATCAAATAGGTGAAGATTCCCAATCTTAGGAATTGCACGTCATTTGCCCCTGCATACGATATTGTTGGGTATCTAAATACCCGACCCGCAAGTACCTATATTGTCTATCAATCTACTTGAGTAGAAGTAGGTAGGAATTATCAAATTATTCACAGAGGAGGTCCCAGTTAATGGCACAGGCCAAGAATAGCCAATAATCAACGAGCCTAAAGCCTAAGATGGGGGGCCGCCTAGCCCCAAAGTAGTTAGCCCCAAACACCCCTGTGTCTCAGCCATATCCGCCTCCCCATTCAGCCATGGCTTCGTACTTCTGAACAATCCATTTGACAATTAACATCAACACAACACCAGACGAAATCAAGCACAAAATACCTCCCATATTTCTTACAGAACATCCAAATCTTTCAAAATGCCAGGAATTCGTAAGTAACACCTTGCTATCTTGATCCCGCGCCATCCTCATCACGCGCATCCTCTCTCGCGATGCTGTTATCAGTTCCAACATGACGATCCAAGTGCGATGATATCCCAAGTATCTACGTTACGATCATGTGGTTCTCTCTTTGGCAAACATCACCGCATGCTACCTAGAATTTCCGCTGACCACTTTTGTTATCTGTACAGCACCAAATGCGTTATCCGACCTCAAGGCCAGACTTAAGGGCATGTTGAAGGGCAAGAAGAAGGAGGAGAAGAAAGAGGAGAAGCCTGCAGAGGCAGCTCCCACCGCAACTACTCCTGCTCCTGCGGCCGCTCCAGCAAGTGCCCCTGAGCCAGCAGGTAAACTATAATTCCTGAATCCTTATCGCAGACCAGAGACTGATTTGTTTCCTCTAGCCGCCGCAGCCCCAGTACCCGCAACAACCGAGTCCACACCTGCAGCACCAAAGGAGGAGGCGAAACCTGAGGCAAACGAGCCTATCGCTGCTGCTCCTGTCACTGCAGAAGCTCCAAAGACTGAGGCAACTCCTGCTACAGCGCCTGCCAAGGCCGAGGCACCTGGTAAGTCATATCCAGCTCTGCGTACATGATGATTGTGGGGTTTCTGGGGATATCGGATCTAGCCTTTTCAATTTCGCAACATCAAGGTTACATATTGGTGCTATGATTGCTAACTTAGCCTAGCTGCCACAGCTGCCCCAGTCGTTAGCGAGCCAGTTCCAGAGGTCAAGAAGGAAGAGTCAGCACCAGCTGCTGCACCCGTTCCGGCCGCTACCCCAACTGCATAAACGGCAACGCGATATCCAAACCATGTAAAATTTCGAACATCCGTTATTCGCATGTGCTTATTCTGGTTTCTTCGATTTTCTTTCGACCAGTCAAAGGGGAGAGGGAGCAAGTAATGGAAGTTGTTATGCGCATTCTTAGGAGAATACATAGTTGTGGTGGAACCGGAACAGGATATCTGCGTGGGAACAGGATTTCGCAGGAGCTTTTTGTTTCTTTTTTTCTTTTTTTCGTCTGATTTCTTTTTCTCCTTTTCCGTCGAGAGCAATACCCCCGTTATGATGTAGCGGATCGGAACGAGTCGATAGGTATTATCAGGCCTTGGCTCTTCGATGGACAATTGATACCCCCAATACCCTTTGATTTAGTCTATAATTGATCCATCTATTTTTTCTTGAAATGATTTTTGAAGCCTTCTCCTTGCATCTTCTATGATTCTCACCGTTTTTCCCCTTATTCTTCTCAAATATTGACCCTTTTTTCTCCGAGTAGATGGATTCAAATTCGAATCTCCTTTCCCCAGATTACGAAATGTGAACCCCTGAATTTGTGATTGGTGACCCGAGATGAGAGATGAGAGATTGGGTGCTGTTACCCCGGTTTTCTCTTGGAGAGAATTGACTTGATTGTTGGTAATGGGTGGGTATGAGAAGGGCAGGGGAAGGGTTTCTCGGATCACATTGTGGTGGTGCGTTGTGGTGCTTGGGAAAGATGTCTTGGAATTTGGATGGGTGTGGATGTGGGTGTGGATGTGGATGTGGGATATTTTATGTTTTATGTTTTTGTTCTTTGGGTATGTACGAGTACTTTACGGGGAAAGTTTCTTTCGATTGATGGGCCGCTTGTTCGGATTATGTCTCTTCTTTGGGGTTTGTTTTGGTGTGTTTTTTGGGTTTGGGATAGGGGATAGGGGATGTGAGTGAGTTTTGGTGGTGGGGGGTGGTGAGTTTTTCATGGAATAAAGGGTGGCTGTGTAGGGTCAGGTTTGGAATTGAGAGTAAGTCTTGAGAGTGGCTGTTCTTGGGGAGATAGATATATTCTTCTATTTGTTATTTTGTAATTGATATGTACGGATTATGCACAATCTCTCTCTCTCTCTTTCTTCTGGTGGCAGGGATTTCGCTAGAGGTATAGCGATATGTTAGGCATTACAGTATAGCTTTTGTTAGTTCTTTCCTGTCATTGCCATGTTTGATTGTTTTGGGTTTTATATTATCTGCACTATTGTATGTCTAATGTATTTTCCGATTTTTTTCGTAGGATTCTGGGATGGTTCAATAGGTTTGTTGACTTGATTGTATATTTTTTCTTCTTTGGTTGAGGATTTATATGTGCTGTTGATATTACTTGGATTCTCAAGCGTCCTTGAAAAGGGGTGAGCTGGGTGGAAAAAGTAACTTAGTTCTAGTTATTTGAACTATTTCTATTACTAAAATACCTTATGGTCACGTTGGGTTTGGAGTAAGTTAAATTGAATATGAACGTTCTTGAATGTAGACTAAGTCAAACTTCTGTTCTATCAGGCTTAGTAGGTTAATAAGGAACTGTTCTCGAGTTATGGGATAAAGTTACTTTGACTAGCTGAGAATGTTTCATGGATCTTGAGAACAGTCGTAGGGCTTTCGATCTTTTTGATACCAAGTGGCTACTCAGAGGCACAAGGGAGCGGGAGGGTGCCAGCAAAAGTGAGATAGAACCATGCAGTGGAGAATCCTACTTTACCAAAGATCAAAACCGAACTTCGAAAGCTGAAGCTCAACAGTTTCGCAGTTCAACTTCACCTCATCTCTATCATATCTCTTCCTCTTATAATTAAAACTCCTCTTCTTTCCCCCAAATACAAAGCCAGTCTCCCCCTCTCAACAGCAACACCGAAGCCCGACTTAACCTCAATTATCATTATCGTTATTTGCTCAAACATGATAGCCATGGAAATCGACAGATTCCGCTCCCGCCCAGAATACAAATGGCTCGAAGAAACCCTCATCGGAGCCAAACTCTACTTCCGAACCTACCAATCTCGGGTTCCCTTCGTAGAGATTGAAGTCCCGAGACTGGTCAGAGAGGCGATTGAGGAGTTGAGAAAGGTCCATGAGACGGAGAGTTGGGACTGGGTTGTTCATATGGGGATTTATGAGGCGGCTTTGAAGTATTGTAAGTCAAGATGTATAAAGGTGAGGATATGGAGATGAAGGGGGAAATAACTAGAGTGAAAGGGTGAAAGGGTGAAAAAGGAAAGGAAGAAAGGATGGATAGTGACTAATTGAAAGAATAGTAAATAGGAAGACAATCGAGTACCCCTTCACAGCACCTCCCCAATACGGAAAACCCGAAATGTATAAAGGCTTCACAAACATCGCTCCCGCACCAGCATCTCTCGATCCTCTTCTTCCACCTAACGCCAGCCAATCGGACGGTATCTCCTCTCCGCCTTTCCCCTTCCCCTTCCCTTCTCCTGAATTAACGAACCCCAGACAACCTCCAAGTCGAAAACAAAACCCTCCTCTCAATCATCCAACAAAAAGACCAAGAACTCCGCATCAAAGACGAAGATCTCGCTCTCAAAGACCAGGAGTTGGCGGCGAAGAATAGGGAGATTGCGGTTAAGAATGCGCAGTTACTGGCTAGGGAGCAGGAGTTGCGACAGAAGGATGGGTTTGTAGCGAGTTTGATGGAGAGTTTGAATGCGGCGCAGGGGATTATTCATGGGAGGATGTAAGTTGGTTCCTGTTTTTTTGAAAGGGGGTTAAGGGAAGGGGGAGGGTAATGATGGTTGTGTGGATGTGGAGCTAATGTGGGTTATAGGCAGCTTGATGGGGAGAGATTGTGGCAGGGCTGAAGGTGTTGGAGGGATTTGAATGGGTTTGGATTTGAATATGGATTCGGCTGGAGTTGTTTCGTTGGTTGCCTATTTGGTTGGTTGGCTAATTGGAAGGCTTTTTCCTTGCACTATTTGGGTTGGTAGTTTCAATGGAGAACACGATAACTTCATATATCACCTCTCTGACTTTGGTGACCATGAGCTCATGCGTTATATGGTAGCCTTCCGGGTGGTCTAAAAGTGGCTAGATAACTACTGAAAGTACGTAAAAGTGACTTGATTATGAATGGTGAAGGTGTGATTATTAAATAAGATTACTGGTCCTCTAAACTCATTCTGAAGACTTCACCAGCCAGATATTCCACTTCAACGTCATACCAGCAATTACAATCGACAAATACTACCTTTCCACAGTGCTTTCGCTCATTGAAATCCATCTCCACAAACACCACTTGCTCATCTTCAGTTTGCTTTGGCAATTCAGATAGCCAATACTGCTCTTTCAATAAGTTTGTTAACCTTATCACAAAGCTTAAGTAGTAACAAACTACCAAAGAAGGCAGTCTCACTCAATTGAGAACGACACTTGCTTCACCTCACCCTCACAAAAGTCCGCTTTTGAAAAACTCTCTCCACATATCACCATCTTCAAACAACAACAAATCAAACAAACGATGAACCAACAAACTTTCCTACTAGCAATCAAAGAAAGCCAAAAGTTCGAATGGCTAATGGAGTTTTGCTATGGCTACAAAACCAGACCTACAACCTCGAAGCTCCTGGGCGACAAGTTCCTGCATCACCATGTCTACAAGCAGGCTATTGCTCTCAAGTACGGTGGCCACGAACGTGAAAGTGACGCTTGGCTCCTGCACTTTGCCATCTGGGTACAAGCCTGTATCTGGAAGCCAGCGTAAGATCGAGTCTCGAATCTGGGTTACAGTATAATTGGCTAATTTGAGGCTGCAGAATGTCTATCAATTACCCTTTCCGCGCTCCCAAGCAGGTCGGCAGATATGAGAAGCTCGTGGTCTCGCCGACTGTTTCTTATCCCTTTCCTAAGCACCAAGATGACAAGCTCAATGGTATGCATTCTTGTTCCTCTTCTCTATTGCTTTAAAGACATTGAAGGCGAAGTTTCTCTAGAGATTGATCGGGTTGTGGATGCTTTCTTGAAATCACTGGAGGGACTTTTTACTATCCAAGGTATGTCATCTTTCCCAAATTCGAACCAAAGCTGACTTATTATTTAGATCTCGATTTTGGCCATCACAAAGGAACCTCAAATTTCACTGCTTATTATGACCAAGAGCGAAATGTTTTTGTGTCAAAGGCTAGACCGGAGGATCGAAAGAGAAAGAAAAGAGCAGATGATGAGGATGAGGAGGTCGAGTCGAGAGTGTGTGCTAAGAGGAGGACAGGTGAGTGAATGTCTTATGAGAATGGTATGATGGCAGACACGTGGGTTTTTTACAAGGGGAAAAAAGGAAATTGAAAGCGAGGGAACAAAAATATTCGGAGGTGATTGCGCATAGTGGCTGAATCCATTCTCCGTATGCAATGGGTGGAATCCGGGGTTTCATCTTAGTGAATGCTATCATTCGCTTCAAATACATCTCGTTGTTTCTTTCAAGAAAAGTGTGACGGAATGATGATAGTGGATAGATAGACAAGTGTCAGATTAAGTGATTGGGGGTAGGAGTATTTGAAAATATCTCCAGTTACTTTCCACGGTGGATTCATGTACAAACAAGAAGAATTAGCAGACAGGCCGCTTATATAGTTAACAACCAGTTCGACAGCTATTGATAAAGAATGGAAAGTACAAATAATACACTCATTGCCATGTACCTTGCACGCTGCTATCATATGACTCACCATGGACGGTATTCGAATTATTCGTTTTTGAGAACCGGTTCTATAGCGACTTTCCTTATCAAAGTTATGTCCTTGCTACAACCGAATCAATCTTATTACTGCATAATTTGCTTATGGTGCCAGGAACTATGCAATTCGAACTATATCCCTTGCATCGTCTTTGCCTTGTAACGCATTGGAATTTGCTTTACAAAGTATCTTTTACTCCGTAAGCCCTACATGAACGGTAGTCTGAACGTTATGATTAATGTTTGGTCTGTAGTATTCCACTGGTTTGTTTGGCGGGAAGTAGGACTTACAAAGTGAGAGATATAAACTCTCGGCCTCGTATTTGAATATCATGACTTTGATTATCCTATATACATAGTAATTAAGGTCGGCAATAAGAAATATAACTAAGGTTATGATAGGCATCAAAAGAATGAGTTATTCGTACTTTCAGCACCTCCAAAAAAATGTTCAATAGTTTATCAACGTCAGAATGTCCACAGCTACAATTAGCTTAATTAACCACGACTTTCCACTTTCAAAACCATCCACCGTCTCTAAAAACTCAGACCGACTGTCACTCTAAACTATTTCGAACCTTACTCTTTACAGCGGAACAATGATATACCTAATTCACGAAATTAATACATTTTATAGAAGTTTTCCTTTTGAGTGTTTTGACATCGTTTTTATATTGATAAGCTAAGTGAGATTGCCTAACAACCTCCCTCTGCTATAGAAAGACTACGTGAAGTTACTCTTCCTTCCCACGGCGAAAAGATTTTATAATAGCTGTATGTCTAAATACAAGCGCTCTGTAGGAAACTTCTTCCTCTTTTCCTAATCTGCTTTATATTATTCCTGCGGCGATTGTAGAATAATCGACGTATAACACTAATCCGAAACAAACCTCTTAATAACTTGCTTATCTTACCTACTATCCAACGCCAAAGTAAACTAGCTCACTCCATTCCTACTACAGTAGGAGCCTTATAACTTCCTGAATTGCTTTTAGGATGTATTAAGACGAGGAAGAGGATTAGAGGATTAGAGTGCGTGAAGATAGCTGATGGTGAACGCGAAAACGATACAGTATAACATAATATAATTCATATATAGAAAAGTACTGTAGAGCTCCTATGTATGTACTTATGCATGTAAATATCTCAACCCCCTTTCCATCAGACCAAAATCTATAAACAACAACTTCCAACTTCCAACTTCCACGCACGTTGCACGATGAGTAAATAACTCTTACTCTTGGCACAAACAATACCAGAGAATAACCCCACCCCAACGAATACACTACACTCGTAATAAAAAGTTATCTGCTTGTTAACTTATCAGCTTATTAAAAGATATAGATTACTGTTAGATGTATCTGTCTATCTACCTGTCTGTCTATCTATCTGTTCAACTTAGGAACGGGAGAGGGGTTAGGGTTAGGGTTAGGGTTACGCTTCCTCTTTTACAGTAGGTTGGATAGTTTAAATTTGGGGTACCGTGATGAGGGGTGATGGATATGGTGGCACTAGGTGGATATGGTGGATATATCGTAATGAAAGGGATGATTCTTTCCCTTATTAGTAATTTATTACTGACATAAAGAGGAGAAGAGGCAGTACTGTAGAAGTGGAAGGTTTACTAGGATTGGTCTATACTACGTACGATTTGATCTCAATATCTAACACACTGGCCATCCACGTAATGAATCACACTCAACCCCCTCTTAATAATTTTTGTAGTAGACGAGAATCACATCACATGACATTACAAAAACCCAATTTCATCTCATCACACATGCAGGTGGGAGATCACAAAAGTACAGTAACACAAGATAACCAACCAAAAGTAAAAGAAAAACACATAGGTAGTGAAAATGTCTATGTTCAAGTCCTTGTATCATATCATACCATACCACAAAAAAAGCGATACGTGAAAACCAAAAAAAATCTAATATACAAAAAAGGTTCATCCATCAAACCGAGAAAGAAAAACCAAAGAAAAGAGGAAAGGGTATACAGTACAACCAACCACTCCTACATGCCCCATCATCACATTGCCCAGTCGGACCAGCCCTCCAGGCTACTCAACAACACCTACCCACCACCACCAGCACACCAAACTCCATACACCTATGCGAACATCTCCCCTCTCACTCCACCACCTCGGGTCTAGGTCGAGATCTAATAAAACTCCACAGTAAACTGCCCATTCGCACTATTCGCAACCGTCGTCCCACTCGCCCCCGCCGCTCCATCCATAAAATAAGTCTTCCCATCCGTAATCTTCTTCTTATACCAGTTCAACGCTTCCACATTCTTCGGGATCCAGTTGCCCACCGTCGACCCCAGGACATGTGCGACAGTGCCATCCGGCCTCTTGAAGGCCGCTCCGGTAGCATCCTTAGCGAACGCTCCGGCCGGCGCATCTTTGATGAGATCCTGCGTGAAACCGACCACCACATTGCCTTTGAGCGTCGCGGCTCCGTCGTTGCCTTGTTGTACTGAGACGTCTCCCCATGCTTTGCCGGTGCCGTCGTTGAGCTGGAATTCGACCCAGGTGGCGGGGATGAGACCGCTGTTTCCGCGCTGCACGCGGCCTTTGAAGGAGGAGGGGAGGGCGATGAAGCGTGATTCGCCGGCTTTGAGGGTTGGTGGGTTGGCCATTGGGTGGTCGAAGTTGGCGCCTGCTGTGCCGACGCCGTTCCAGAGATTGTCGAAGAAGGAGTAGAGTTGCGTTCTTCCGCTCTTGTTGATGAGTGTGATACCTGTGCCGCTGGCGCGGGCGTCGAGGGGGAGAGCGGATGTCACTGAGCAGGCTACTGCTAGGACTGAGAGGAGTTTGATAGAGGGGAACATCTTGTTTGTTGTTTGTGTTTATTGATATTTGTGTATATCTCGTGCGTGTATTTGAACGTTTTTTCTAGAAGGAAAAGAAAAGTAGCGTGGATAGCTGAACAGAGATAGCTTGTATAATTTCCCAAAAGACTGAATGTATAAAAAAGGAGTGTGGAAATTGTCGTGAATGGACAATCTTAACAAAGCCGCTGTCAAATTGAAGAAAGAGTGAATTCAGTAGAACAATGAAGCCGTGATGTAACAAAAAAAACCACAAAAGAAAGTAGGACCTCTACCTATATACAATGCAAAGAAAGGGTTCTTTAAAATTAGACACCAAGTCACTTAACAATGGTTCCTGCAGGAATGCGACTCGGGAGGCGTTGTTGCGTCGAACCATAGGACCCCAAGCCAATAGGCTGAAGGATGGAAAGCCTAGAGGAATAAACTGCCCGAAGCGAGGGGAGGAAGCGAGCCAACGACCGAGCTTGGCGCGAAAGACTTGTGAGCGAGCCTGAGAGTACATGTATGCGAGACGGGAGAGAAGGGGGGAAGTGAGAAAATAAGCCACAACATGACATTTTCGTAAGTCCCAACCAACCTACTCGGTACCTACTTCCAATCTGCCTGCCCCCTAGCCGCAGCAGCATGTTTCAAAACTCAAAGGAACGGGATCACGGCGCATCTAGATTTCTCCGTACTGTACTGCTCAACATAGAACCACGTTAACGCAGCGCGGGGGGTGTATGGGGAATGTAATACCAGGGTCCAATACAATATTCGTGCGGGGAGCTCATAATGTGGTGTCGAAGGGTACGGTGCTCAGATGGTAATTCCACCGGTATTTGCCCAAGGGGTATCAGTATCGGTATCCGTATTGCATTTCATCCGTCCGCTCCGTTCGTGGATGATGGATATCTCGGTCTGTTGGTGTTGGGTGTTGGTAGGGGGTTTGTGATGAGATGAGAGGGAGGGATGGATAAAGATGAGATGAGGTGGGATGACGACACGTGCTTTGCTTAGTTGGGCTCCACTGAGCTGACATGGACAAAGAATAAGATGGTTATTTTAGGACAACGATGAATGAAGTATATGTTAACGAATTATACGTGAATAGAAAAATGGCTTGATACGAATTTAGAAAAGAGAAACGAATCATCCCGCGGTAGGTCGAAAAGAAAAGAAAGGCGTCACATGACCAACCCGCTCATGGATCGGACACGAAGTACTCCCGGGAGTCTGCACTCTGGAGAATGCCCACTAGCACAGAATCGTACAGCGGCACAGCAAGCGAACAGATCCCATCTACTCACCTGCATACGTAAAACACACTGTGCACCTAAACCCCTTACCCAATTCCAACCATTTACAAAATCCTCTCCCAAAATAGCTCTTTTCTCCTCTTCTCCTCTTCTCCCCATCCATCCCTCTATATAAAAACCATCTTACCAAAAAAGGTCGTGGGCTATGACAATATCCTTCTGATCATTTGGTTGACGGGATGTACGGTACCGGTAGGTAATGTACTCGGGATGGGGAAATATGAACATGTCAAGAGCAGATTCATAATAATTCTCAGAAATTGGATCTTCTATTCTTTCATCTGATCGAAGCTACCGTACTTATTAGTACCAGTACCAAAGATCAAAAAGACCAATTCTGTAACTCAAATTTTTGCTTTTCTCTTTTCTCTCTACCATCTCAGCACAGCTCAAAAAGAGCCATACAAACACACCAAACTCCACCGTCGTTCATCATAATCATATCGGTCGATGGTATGCGCTGCGCCTTGCAACCCGAGTCATCATGAAAAAAAGATCTCAGTCAGCCCATTCAAGGTCCAAATCACAAATACCCCCCTCAACAGCCATAACTCTCAGCTTGTTCACATACGCATCCCAGAAAGGACTCGTACTAGCCGGCATGAAGAGTTGGTCAACGGGCACCTCACCAACCTCTGCGCCACCATCTTCCTCAATATCCTGGTCTAGCAGGGAGAGAGCAGCGAAGGAGTTGCCATGTAACTTGCGTGTAGCCCATTCACTGGTAAGGAGCTCCTCGCTATCAGATCCGGAGAGGTAATCGTGTTGGCGAGGGGAGGAGAGGAAGATACCCCCAGAGTCATCATCACCGACGTCCGTACTGCTTCTCTCGGAGTTCTCGTCAAGGTTTGATTTTGCCTCGTGGTAGAGTTTGCCGGAGAGCTTGACGAAGAGTTCTGCTGTCATCCAACCCGTTGTTTGTTAGCAAAATGTTTTCGCGCGAAGGATCGTAACGTACTATCGTAACCTGCCTCATGATCCATCTCGGAACCGTAACGAGTGTGCGATTCATGCAATATAATCAATGGTTGATGAATCTTCTTGAATGGTTCAAGAAGCTCCTTAAGACCCGACCTGGCATGTGCAAATTCCTCAGTTTGAGTGGCCAGATATTTGGTATCGTAGATGATCGGAAACAAGTCATGAATGTCCTCTTGAAAGTGTCTGACATTAACTGGGAGAGTACCGACGAAAGTCTTGTAAATGAAAGCAAGATCGGTAAACAAATTGTGTCCAACAAGAATCTGTTGCTTGGTCTTGAGAGTCTTGGTAATGGTTTTGAGCTCGCGAGTAACATTCTTGAGTACGTCTGCATTGGTTCGCTCGTCGTGGATGTTGTAGAACCAGAGCGGGTCAATGTTGCGAAGGTCCCCACAGGTTAATGCCTCAAAGATCCATCGTAGACCTTAAATTGAATTAGCAGTAGCTTGTATTTCTTGAAAGACCTGTACAAACCTGTTTGCCTTCCAATGGCAGTCTCAAACTTGTGACTGCGGCTCTGTTGTTCCTAGACGACATCAGTATATCAACGGAAAAACAAACTAAAAATTTAAAGGGTCGAAAGCAGGGTAAGACGTTTGCAAACAGGAAAATTATTGTCAAGTTGACAACACGAAGATTTGCTATAATGGAAAGGCATAAAAGGGGAAAACATTTCATCATGAACATCTAAAATGTACTTATCAAAGTCAAACATACCTCTGCTTCCCGCTTTGGATTGATTTTGACGACTTGCATAAAAGCCCCACTGTCTCTGGCAAAAGTACGTAGCTCAGGGAACTCGCTGCGAATGAGCTGATGGACCAGTCGACGCTGGTAGGACGAAATCTGTTGATCAGGAGAGCCAATGTTGACAAATTCAACCTGGGTCTAGGAAAATCATTAGCCTTTTCTCCTTTTCTCCTCAAACAAGCGAGCAGGTTCTAACACACTTTCTTATCCTCCAACCAAGCAGTGATGGTTCTTCTAGCTTCACGGTAGAAAGTAAGGTTTTCAACGTCTGAGGGATGAATCATCATATCAGGGATTGTAGCTTGACGATCATTTCGTTTCTTGAATTGCTCCCGACAGATGTCTTCCTCATTTCGTCCCAGATAGGAAACTCCATGAGTGAACATCTTACCAATGTCAAAGTGATTTCTCAACAAAAACTCGCAAGAGCTGGTATTAAAGCAAATGTCACGCTCAAACTTAATATCCGCTCCAAGCCCGTTAGCTTGAAGAGGACTGACGAAGAAGTTATAAGGGCGAGCAAGATAAAAGCCTGAAAAGGGTTAGCGATGTACAATGCGAATGGTAAACATCAACATCAAGGACCATACCTCTCTCCTTATCTTCCGTTACGATGGTAATACCAATTTGTACGATGGCATATTTCTCGGCCGCGTGCTTCACATCATTATAGTATTCTTGTAGAGATGGCTTGCTCATACGGGAACCTGTTTGGGGCTTGGTGGAGATACCACTCATCTCAAGATCGATAGTGACAAAAGAGGCAATAGAAAGCTGCTTGAGGATGTGCAACAGCTCCCATTTGAAGTTGTTAGCGTCGATATCCATTTTGACGTGCAGCACTTTTATTGCATGGAGGGTGAATCGTAAGTTGGGGGCCAAGAATCAGCGACAATGCGAGGGCGAGTGCGAGGGCGATGAGTGAGGAATCTGATATTTGCTTCGACCCGGGACTCGAAATACGAGGTCGCGCGATATCAAATCGTTGTCACCATCAAAAGAAGGTGGAGGGTGTAGTTGTGAAGGTGGATGTGGTGGCGGATGGAGTGGGTGAAAAGTTCAAGAGTCAAGATCGGGCTGGTCGGTGGTTGTGGTAGACACGCGACCGACCACCAAGCTTGAAGGTGAGGTCAGTTTGGATGAAACTACAGGAAATGGGCGACAGGATTAGAAATTATGCATTCTTGTTGAGAATGAGAGTTTGGCAGAGAATGAGTCAAAGGACAAGGTGCCTCTGTCGATAGAGTGTCGCTGTCAATGAAGTGAAGAATGCACGCTGATGAATTGAGTTGAAGCAGGGGAACATGAAATGAACAATTTGTAGGGAAAAATCACAAAAAGGAAAGGAAAATGCAGATTATGTTATGTATAAGAAGAATGAAATTGTTGATATAGAAAGAAATGGTTTGCAACACAACTACCAAGTCAGCATCATGTTTGCTCACATTGAAGGTTTGGGTGTAGGTCTGTATATGAATATGAAGCTATCACCACTTTTTGCTCAACAGCTACGTACTCGTACAGGCCAAATTAAGCTTGTGCTGGTGCCAGGCCCAGGCTTGCTCAGAATGGAAAGGGAAAAGCCTGCAGGCCTGCAAGGCACCAACACACCGACTGAGGCCACAGCCAATCAAAACTCGTATACGGTAGATTCTTTCCCCAAAAGTTGAGCCTCGGCTTTGGCTTTCACAAGGGTGGAAGGCACCGCCGCAACAGCAACGGCAACAAGGGCTGCGTTGCGCTGAGCTGCACTGTTGCCATCGGCGCGAACTTCATTCCTGAAAGTCTCCTCCCTCCATCACCAACAACGCCAACCTCACTCCTTGCTCCCATACACCAGGACCTCTAGAGCAAGTATGGCGACCAACGGCTCCATTGCGACTACCCTCAGTCCGACCAGAGACACCTTAACCTCCTCTCAATTGCTGTCCTCGTCCATCTCCTCCCTCTCCAACTCCACCTCCTCTTCTCGCCACGGCAGTTCTCAAATCTCCAAAATCTACAAACAAGCCTCGACACTCTTCCTCACGCGTCGGCTACCTGAATCACTGTCGACCATCTTACCTGTCATCACCCCACCCGAGGATACCGGGGCAGGGATCGAGAAGGCGCCCATTGCAAAAGCTAGTCGGACAACAAGAATAAAGGTTTGGAGTTTGTATCTGACTATTCTGAATGCTATCGCGGAACTGGATCCGGACGAGGGGAAACAGGCTTTTGGAAGTTCGGATTGGAGAGCATTGGTGACCAAAGTGCGGGACGGAGAGGTGTGGGAGGAGGTAGTTAAGAATGGGTATGGAGGGGTTGAAGGGGATGTTGATTCCGATGTTGTGATTAATTTGTATGTGCTCTGTCTTCTTAATATCCCGGAAACTTGTATCAAGCGATGCTAATAATGACAGAGCAACCCTTCTTCTCGCCCATGCGCGCACCCAAAAAATCAACCAAACACGACTTGAGACCTACCTCGCCGCCTCCACCCAACCTAACCTAGACATATCCTCCCGAATGCAAGATCACGCCAGAACTCACAAAAGAAACCATACGGCTAACGGAACCGACACCCCCCGCGATCTCAATGCTCGTGTCAAAATTTTAGAAATCTACACCCTCCACGTCCTCTTGAAAAACAACGAATGGGACTACGCCCGAGAATTCATATCAATCTCCGCCGTCCTGGATGAAGAACGCCGGGAAGCGTTCCTTCAAGCCCTCCAAACCCTCCAAGATGAATATCTTGAAGCCGAACGACGAGAGAAAGAAGAACGTCGCTACCAAGAAGAACAACTCAAAAAAGATATTGAAGACGCCCGCCGCCGACGCCTAGAAAACGAACAGCGGGAGCGAAAGCGAGAAGAGGAAGAACAGCTACGTCGAGGGGGGAGCGAAATAGATTACGGAGTCGAAGAACCACGTCCCGGAACCGCACGTTCTGGAAAATCGAATTCAGCACGAGGATCTGTAAACGGTCCTTCTTCGTCTAGGAAACAAACTACTTCTAATCATACACCTACTCCTGCGACGAATCGCAAACCTCCACCCACTATGTTAGTTAGGATGACCAATCTCATATCCAACATCCGCGCACTCATCTTACATAATGTGGTAGGAGGGTTCAGGACTAGACCAATGTTTCTAGTTCAAATGCTCGCGTTCATTATTGGGATTTTGGTGGTGGTTAGTAGAAAGGAAGTCAAGACTCGCATCCGAAATATCATGGCAACGAGTTGGGGGAAGGTAAGTGGGACGGTGAAGATGGGGGGGAAGGTCAGTTATATTTAATCTTCCTACTTGAGTTTGTTATTTTCTTCCTTGAGCGGTGAGATTGAGATGTGGCTGTGGAACTTATAATCATTAATTCATGGATGTGCATTGCTGGGAGTCTTTTTCTTTAGGGGGCAAGCGAAGCGAGTTGAGCTGTTAGAAGCGAGGTGTAAGATGGAAGAGGAGGGAGGGAGTTGTGTATGATACTGTCTGTCGTTCCTTTAGAGGAGGTCCCGTCCCCTTTGTATATATGGGTTTCTTTGGGCGTCTGGCGTATTAGCTGGGGAAGGAAGGGAAGCATGGAATTTTGGAAGACAGAGAGAGAGACAGAGAGAGAAAGATTTGGGTTTTTGGAGAGGAGGGACAACTACACTATACAACAACAACAAATGAACAATCCACTCCTACCTACTTTTTCCTTTGTCTTACGATTTATCATCATCCATTTTCTGGGAAATCTTTTCCCCGGGCTTTGAGGAGAGAGTAGGTAGAGCGTAGAATTTTTTTTTTTGTGTTTTTGTGTTTTTTGTTACTGTAGGCGGATATAGATATAGATATATCATGTAGATATTAAATTTAGGGAAGGGAGTACTTTAGGTTTTAGGTAAGTACCTAAAGAAAAGATGTAGAGGAAAAGAAAGAAAGGTAAGTAAGTTAGGTTAGTTAGGTTAGTTCCCAAGTAATCAAGTAGGTTTATTTATATATATACGTCTGTCTGTAGGAGAACCAGTCAGAGTACTACCTACTCCCGTAGTTTGTATTTTTATCTTTATTTATTTTCAGGATTTATAGGGTATAGGGTATAGGGTATAGGGTATATCGGATGATAACCTTAAAGAAACGAGGAGGTAGGTAGTATATGTATATGTATATGAATAGTATGTAATTCTAACTCTACTTTTATTCACAAGGAATAGGTGGTTAGATGGTTGGTTATTTAGTTATTTATAATTTTTACTGTTGGTGTGTTATATAGTACATTATTATGGCATTAGTATCCAAGCCTTTAAGTCGTTAAGTCAGTTATCTGCGAAAGTTTACTTGTTGATAACGATACCATTGGAAGAAAGAAGAAAGGTTGAATTGAACATAAATCTTTGACTCATTCTCGCTAAACAACACTACGATCTAGTGAAAAAACAAAACCAACAACATATAAATACAAGCATCCATACCCGCTTTTTCCCATCCAATCCCCTATCCATCCCCTCCCCTTCCCATTCACATTCATTCGCTTTCTTGATTCCTATCCGTTCGTCCATCACCTCCATACCTCACAAATACTTCTTCACCCCACCTGCCTTCCTCCTCTTATACATCACATAAGCACCCCCCACAATAACCTGCGCTCCCATCACCACCCCAAAGAACTTGAGCAGCGAATGCCCGCTATTTTCCAAGCTCAATTTCATATTATCGTGCGTGTCCCGAACGGCAAGCTTGATCCCGGCCGCATGTTGCTGTAGCAAATTATGTAGTTCTGCCTTGGTGGATCGTACATCGGAACTGATGTCTTTAAGCGAATTAGATGGATCCGGTTGAGATTTGAGGAGCGATTCGAGGGAGAGGAGCTTGGAGAGGAGGGCATCGTGACGACGGCCAGCTTCGTCTGCGCGACGTGTAGCCTCGGTTTGGTATTCGTTGAAATCCCGGTTGATGGTGGAGATGTGCTTCATCATTGCTTGAAGACGATTGTGTAGGTCTGCGAATTGCGCTTCGGAGCTGGTATATTGAGAAGCGGGAGTATCTTCAAAGTATAATGGACTTGCGGAGCTTTGTTTTCCTCTGTCTTGTTTTGGAGCTGGTTTCCCGGTTGCTGGTTTCTCTGCTTGTTTTTGGCCGCCTGCAGAATCGGAGGCGTGATTGTCGGTTGTGGTAACGAATTTGAAGACCTCGAAAGAATCAGGGTTCTCTGCTGAGGCGGCGGTCATACCAAAGTAGTTTCCTAAGGGAAGCTTGACTTTGGCGGACTCGAAACATGGGTTTCCATCGACGCTTACTTTAAAAGATTTATCGGTTTGACGGATGGTAATTCGTGATGGACGTCCTAGGTTTCGGAAGGGATAAGTGCAGTGACCAAAGGCGAGACTGTCTACACTGTGGTGAGATTTGTAGTCGGTACTACCATCGTTGAGGAAACCTCTTATGAACCCGCCCTGTTGTATTGTTAATTGTGAATTCATGAATTGTGAAAGTAAAGAGCCCTTACTGATCCTGCATACTGGTCCACAACAAGCGCCAATCCGTCAAATTTCCCAACCGTGTATATGCTTGATGTTGCAACTACATCTTTCCCTTTATGGGCATACCATATATTCATGTTTCCTCCTCCACGTTCTGGTCCCGTTGCTCGGAAATCGACATCGACCGTCCATTGGGAATGTGCCAATGCGGAATCTGCCCATACTGCTCCTCTCTGATTCCCTGGCACTGGTGGGGTGAGGACTACTTTGTTGGAGAGAATGGAAGGAGGGTCTGGTTTCCCTATGATGGCCCAGTGTGGTATTACTCGCGCATTGGGTGATATTCTGGATTTTGTTAGTGGGAAGGGTAGAGTAGAGAGTAGAGGACTCGACTGACTTTCCATTATGACCAAAACTCAGTTCGTTGCTGAGATATGTAGCTTGCGCCGAGGCAAGAAATAAAGCTGATGCCAGCGCCAGCGAGGATGGGGAAAAGACCATGGTGGAATTAATTGGTGGTGCAAGTGGCCGCTAGCAGCTTGCAGCTTGCTAATAGCTACACGAACCAATGAAAAGAATAGAAGCCAATGGCCGTGGGAAAGGAAAAAGAATGTAATGTAGTGGGGAGAGAATGGCAATGAATTGCAGTGTTAGCACATCGACACCAATATATTATGTGTTCTGTGCTTGCTGGCTACTTCTGCTTGGTAGGGAGCACTGTACAGTACTTGGCCCTTCAATCGTCTGTAGTTTGACTTCCCCGGTGGTGAGAGTGACCACCCTGTTCCCCCAAGAGGACACTTTGCGCAACGGTCCGGACGAGATCGGTAACGCAATAGATGGCCACCACCCCCAAAATCAAATTGCGGATGGGTTTTCCTAGACTGGTGACAGACGGACCGAGATGCAGAGTAAAGGTATGAGAAACAAAGTGCTTGACGGCGATTTCGGTGGGCATAAACGCTGCGTCCATGGCTGAGCGAGGGAGCTTCAAGCTGTACTCGTACGGCCTCCAAGGTGCATGTTTGAAGCTCTCCCAGGGCTGATGCCGCTGCCGCTGCGGTTGCCGTCATCCAATCGAGGAACAGCCGAGAAATACCCAGCTGGACCCCGGATGATCATCACTTCCCGCCCTTGAGCTCCCTCTCCCTCGTCTGCACTCCTGCGTGCGACGAAAACACTACAAATTACTACCACCAGCAGCTGGGAAGGAAATGTCTCCATGGCAGACTTATACCCCTCCATAACCCAATGCGCGGTTGTAGCCACCGCTTTCAAAGTGCTACTCTTCCCTGCTTAGTACGTTCCGCATTCCAAGCTTTGAATAACAACTAACCTTCCCCAGTAAATCCACCGATTTCGAGGTTCACAGAAATTGGCTGGCCATCACAAACAGCTTGCCGGTACAAGAATGGTACTATGAAAAAACCTCGGAATGGACTCTCGACTATCCTCCCTTCTTCGCCGGCTTTGAATGGATCCTGTCACAATTCGCAAAGTTCGTGGATCCGGAAATGTTGAAGGTGTCCAATTTGGGTCATGATAGTTGGCAGACGGTATACTTTCAGCGAGCAAGTGTTATAGCTACCGAGTTGGTGTTGGTCTATGCGCTTTCTTTGTAAGTGCAAATCTGGATCAGGACCAGTTGATGTGGGTAACATATGGACTCTGGCTGATATATACACTTAAGTTTTGTGAAATCCGCCCCGCTGGCATTGAAACGCCCATCTCATGCTGCTGCTCTATCTCTCCTTCTCTCGCCCGGACTTTTGATAATCGATCATATCCATTTCCAATATAATGGTTTTATGTATGGACTTTTGATTTTGTCTTTGGTATTAGCAAGGAAGGAGTCCACTACCCTTGCAAGTGGATTTTTGTTTGCCATTCTACTGTGCTTGAAGCACATTTACCTCTACCTTGCACCTGCGTACTTCGTCTTTTTACTACGAGCATACTGCTTGGGTCCCAAATCAATTTTCCACATTCGATTTGGTAATGCGATTAAGCTCGGTACAGGGATTATTACCATCTTTGGAGCTGCATTTGGTCCATTTGCATATTGGGGTCAAATACCCCAATTAATGAGTAGACTGTTTCCATTTTCTCGAGGACTCTGTCATGCATACTGGGCACCTAACATTTGGGCGATTTACTCATTCACCGACCGAGTCTTGATCTATGGTGAGTAAAGATTGATGTTTTCATCCCACAAAACTAAACAGATACTAGTTGCCCCACGACTCGGTCTTGCCGTCAATCAAGAAGCAGTAAACAGTGTAACTCGAGGTCTAGTAGGCGACACCTCCTTTGCCGTCCTCCCGGAAATAACAGCAACAATGACCTTCGCCCTAACCCTCCTCTTCCAAGTCATCCCGCTGATCAAGCTTTTCCTAAATCCAACATGGGATACCTTCATCGGCGCCGTAACCCTCTGCGGCTACGCCTCCTTCCTCTTCGGCTGGCACGTCCACGAAAAAGCCATCCTCCTCGTCATCATCCCATTCAGTCTCATCGCTCTCAAAGACCGTCGATACCTAGGTGCCTTCCGACCCCTCGCCGTCGCCGGACACGTCTCACTCTTCCCATTACTCTTCACCGCATCCGAGTTCCCGGTCAAAACTGTCTACACCATCTTCTGGCTCGTCCTCTTCCTCCTCGCCTTCGATCGACTCGCCCCGGCCAGTCACCGCTCGAGGATCTTCCTCTTTGATCGCTTTAGTTTGCTCTATATCACCGTCAGCATCCCGTTGATTTTGTATTGTAGTCTTCTGCATCGTGTGGTTTGGGGGGAGATGTATGAGTTTTTGCCGTTGATGTTTACGAGTTCGTATGCGGCGGTGGGGGTGGTGGGGAGTTGGGTGGGGTTTTTGGTGGTTTATTTTACGAGTTAGGTAGATTTACTCCGTATAGAAAGGAAGAAAGGGGGGATGGGGGCAATAGCAATTTGATACCCGTTTTTTCTCTTGTGTCTCGTTTCTTTATTTTGATTTTCTAGCTTTGAATTTGTTGGTGAGTGTAGGTGAGTGGGCTGTAATAAGTTCTTAAGATCAGTGGTGGTTTCTATGAGCTATCAGCTATCAGCTGTCTTAATAAACGCTCCTTTACCCCATCCCCCTTCTCTAACTCTGGGTAAATAAGGAACATCGTTTTTGAGGCGTCTTAAGGGTTTGTCATGGTATATCGTTTTTTTTTTGGAAATGATTCTTATGGGGAGGGGGGTTTGAGGAGGGAAAGGAGGGTAAGGGAGCTGGGTAGGCGATTGGGGGTATGTGTTTGGTATGTAGACGTATTTCTTTTTCTTTTCATGGGGGGGGGAGAAGGGGAGAGGGGGAATGGG